AATTGCCCTCTCGTTATTAAAAATGAATTAATTAGAAAATGTTATCATAGTACTTTGCTTTCAATGTTGGGCTAAGATTCTGAGACTTTGTTGTTCTTTGTTGTTGTTGTTGTTGTTGTTAATTTGTTCAGTCGCTTCCAATTCTTCGTGGCCTCCTGGACCAGCCCACGCCAGAGCTCCCTGTTGGCCGTTACCACCCCCAGCTCCTTCAGGGCCAAACCGGTCACTTCAAGGATACCATTCATCCATCTTGTTCTGGTACAGCTGTAGAATCATAGAATCATAGAATCAAAGAGTTGGAAGAGACCTCATGGGCCATCCAGTCCAACCCCCTGNGACTGGTTGGATCTTCTCATGGTCCAAGGCACTCTCAGAACTTTCCTCCAACACCACAGTTCAAAAGCATCTCTCCTCCTTCGCTCAGTCTTCCCTATGGTCCAGCTCTTACATCCATAGGTTACTATGGGGAATACCATTGCTTTGACTATGAGGATCTTTGTTGCCAGTGTGATGCACCGGGATTGTGGCGCAGCAGGCTGAGTGTCAGCTGCATTAAGATCACTCTGACCAAAAGGTCATGAGTTCGAAGCCAGCCCGGGTTGGAGTGGGTTTCCAACCAATTATGTGTAGCCTGTTGTCGACCTTTGCAACCTGAAAGACAGTCAAGTAAGAAAACAAGGTACCACCTTAAAAAAAGTGTGGGGAGGCTAAATTAACTGATTTATGAGGCCATAAAGAAGACTCCAGCAAAGCATTCCAGCGAGGAAGCATGCAGGAATGTGGAAGTGCTTCATCAACGTCGCAGATGAACAATGAAAGCGACAGCTCCCCAGCGGCCAGAAAAAGTTAAATAGCCTCTGTCTATGTCTGTATATGTTGTATGTCAAAATTGGCATTGAATGTACACTGTAATCCACCCTGAGTCCCCTGCGGGGTGAGAAGGGCAGAATATAAAAGCTGTAAATAAATAAATAAATAAATAAATAAATGTCTCTACTCTTCACTGTTTTATCGAGATTGGTCCTTGCTCTCCTCCCAAAAAGTAAAAATCTCCTGATTTCCTGGCCACAGTCTGCATCTGCAGTCATCTTTGCACCTAGAAATACATAGTCCACCACTGCCTCCACGTTTTCTCCCTCTATTTCCCAGTTGTCAATCATTATTGTTGCCATAATCTTGGGTTTTTTTATGTTTAGCTGCAACCCAGCTTTTGCGCTTTCTTCTTTCACCTTGGTCATAAGGCTCCTCAGCTCCTCCTCACTTTTGGCCATCAGAGTGGTGTCATCTGCATATCCAAGGTTGTGAATGTTTCTTCCAGCAATTTTCACCCCAGCCTTGCATTCACCAAGCCCCGCACATCGCATGATGTGTTCTGCATACAAGTTGAATAGGGAGGGTGAGGGTAGACAACCTTGCCGTACGCCTTTCCCAATCTTGAACTAGTCTGTTGTTCCATGGTCAGTTCTTACTGTTGCTGTTGTACTTACTGTTTTTAATTATGCCACTATAAATTACATTACATGTCATGATTGCTGTCAGCCCCAGCTTCTGCCAACCTAGCAGTTCGAAAACATGCAAATGTGAGTAGATCAATAGGTACCGCTCCGGCGGGAAGGTAACTTCGCTCCATGCAGTCATGCTGGCCACATGACCTTGGAGGTGTCTACGGACAACGCCGGCTCTTCAGCTTAGAAATGGAGATGAGCACCACACCCCAGAGTCAGACATGACTGGACTTAATGTCAGGGGACTACCTTTACCATGATTGCTATTCCTGGGCTATAAATGTTGTTTCCTAATTGGGTCTATCACAAAAACATGGAAAAAACTTATTCAACTGGAAAAACTTATTATATATTATTATATTGTATTACATCATAATAGTATTATAATGTAATATCATATTATTATATATAATTATGATTAGCATAACACAATATTAGCATTATATATGATTATATTTTACTATGCCACTATAATGCAATGTTATTAGTATTAATATACGCAAAATAGTATTATTATATAACAATATTATTATATATTATTATATTGTATTACATTATAATAGTATTATAATGTAATATTATATATGTTTTTTTGTAATGTAATATTTATAATGTAATATTTAAAATTTATAATGTAATATTATATATATATATATATATATATATATATATATATAAAATTAGCATTGCACAATATTAGATTTTTCCTGACATTAAGTCCAGTCGTGTCCCGCCTCTGGAGTGTGGTGCTCATCTCCATTTCTAAGCCGAAGAACCGCCGTTGTCCGTAGACACCTCCAAGGTCATGTGGTCGGCATGACTGCATGGAGAGCCATTACCTTCCTACCAAAGCGGTACCTATTGATTTACTCACATTTGCATGTTTTCAAACTGCTAGGTTGGCAGAAGCTGGGGCTAATAGCGGAAGCTCAAACTGCTCCCTGGATTCGAACCTGCGACCTTTCGGTCAACACGCTCAACAGCTCAGCGGTTTAACCCACTGCACCACCAGAGGCTCCCTAGCACAATATTAGCATTATATATTATTATATTCTACTATACCACAATACTGCAATATTATTAATATTAAAATAGGAATAATAGTGTTATTATATGCCAATATCATTATTATTATTATATATTATTATATTGTATTTCATTATAACAGTATTATAATGTAATATATATATATATATATATATATATATATAATTAGCATAGCACAATATTAGCATTATCTATTGTACTATGTTAATTATATATATAATTATATATATAATATTACATTATAATACTGTTATAATGAAATACTATATATATATATATATATATATATATATATATATATTAGCAGTATCTATAGAGCCCCCGGTTGGCGCAGTGGGTTAAACCCCTGTGCCAGCAGGATTGAAGACCGACAGGTTGCAGGTTCGAATCCGGGGAGAGGGCGGATGAGCTCCCTCGACCAGCTCCAGCTCCTCATGCGGGGACATGACAGAAGCCTCCTACAAGGATGATAAAACATCAAATCATCTGGCGTCCCCTGGGCAACGTCCTTGCAGACAGCCAATTCTCTCACACCAGAAGCGACTTGCAGTTTCTCAAGTCACTCCTGACACGACAAAAAAAAAAAAAGAAAGAAAGAAGAAGAAGCATTATCTATTATTATATTGCACTATATCACTATACTGCAATATTATTAGTATGAAGATAGGGATAATAGTATTATTATATAACAATATTGGTCTTATATAACAATATTATTATAACAATATAATAATATTGTTATTATATAACAATATTATTATATATTATTATATTGTATTACATTGTAATAGTATTATAATATAATATTATCTGCCTTTATGTTGGCATGGGTATTAGTTTGTGAGGGGTCATTGCTCAATGGTCTTAGCAGCCTCCACGCCTTCTGGCTGCTCCTAGGAGCAAATACCTGGGAGTCCCAAATACCTGGGAGTCACTCTGGACCATGCTCTTACATACAAGAAGCATTGCCTGAACATCAAGCAAAAAGTGGGTGCTAGAAACAATATCATACGAAAGCTGACTGGCACAACCTGGGGATCACAACCAGACACAGTGAAGACATCTGCCCTTGCGCTGTGCTACTCTGCTGCTATGCATGCCCAGTGTGGAACACATCTCACCACGCTAAAACAGTGGATGTGGCTCTTAATGAGACATGCCGCATTATCACGGGTCTGCGCCCTACACCACTGGAGAAATTACACTGCTTAGCCGGTATTGCACCACCTGACATCCGCCGGGAAGTAGCAGCCAATAGTGAAAGGACCAAGGCAGAGACATCTCCAGCTCATCCCCTGTTTGGGTATCAGCCAGCACGTCAACGACTTAAATCAAGAAACAGTTTTCTAAGATCTACAGAGACACTCACTGGAACACCTCAGCAAGCGAGAGTCCAAAAGTGGCAGGCTCAAACCCAGAACCTCAACCAATGGCTGATACCAAAAGGGAGACTCCCCCCTAGGCAACTTGGAAGGCACTGGACAGACTGCGCTCTGGCACCACAAGATGCAGAGCCAATCTTAAGAAATGGGGCTACAAAGTGGAATCCTTGACATACGAGTGCGGAGAAGAGCAAACCACTGACCACCTGCTGCAATACAACCTGAGCCCTGCTACATGCACAATGGAGGACCTTCTTGCGGCAACACCAGAGGCACTCCAAGGGGCCAGATACTGGTCAAAGGACATTTAATCAACTACCAAACTCACACATTTTGTATTTTGTCTGTTTGTTTGCTTTGTTCTTTTAGAAATGTAAATATAATTGACTGGTTGTCCTGACACGACAAAAAATAATAATATAATATTATAATAATATAATATATATAATTAAAATTAGCATTATATTATGCTAATTATATTAAATATGGCGCAGTGGGTTAAAGCACTGAGCTGCTGAGCTTGTTGATCGAACGGTCGCAGGTTCGATTCCGGGGAGCGGCGTGAGCTTCTGCTGTCAGCCCTAGCTTCTGCCAACCTAGCAGTTCGAAAACATGCAAATGTGAATAGATCAATAGGTACCATTCCGTGGAGAAGGTAACAGTGCTCCATGCAGTCATGCCGGCCACATGACCTTGGAGGTGTCTACGGACAACGCTGGCTCTTCGGCTTAGAAATGGAGATGAGCACCACACCCCAGAGTCAGACATGACTGGACTTAATGTCAGGGGACTACCTTTTTACCTTAGCATTCTACATTATTATATTGTACTATACTACTATACTGCAATATTATTAGTATTAATATAGGTATAAGGTATAGGTGACTGGCGCCATCTGTCGGCAATACATTGCCCTCTGGAGCCAGGAAAGGGTCTCCCTGAATTTTCGGCACTGTTCGGCTCTTCTCGGGAATGTTCGGGGTAAAGGGGCGGGGTTTAACTTCCCGTCGTGTCTTTTCGGACGTTTCCGGAATGCTTCGGCTCTTGTCGGGCGGGCGGTGGGCGGGGCCGAGCCGCTGAGCCAGTTCGGCACTTTCCGGAAAGTCTCTCCCGAAGGAGCGATTGTGGGGTTTCGGGGCTTTGCCATGGCTTCTTCCTCGCGGAGGCTGCAAACCAAGCCGGTCATCACTTGCCTCAAGAGCGTCCTCCTCATCTACAGCTTCGTCTTCTGGGTGAGCCCTGGGCCGGTTGGGAACAAAAGGGGGGCGTCTACACGGCGGAGTTAACGCAGTTTGGTAACACATTGATTGCTCTGACTTTGGGCGTTTTATGAGTCTGCAAACCTTGCAAAACTTTGCCAAAGTAATACTGGAAGCATTCCAAATCATTGAACTTCCAAAGTGGCACCAAACTGCGTTAAGTCTACAGTGCAGACGTCCCTTAGAAACGAGCAGGGAAGGCTAGGCTCTAGATCTCCATCCTTTCTTCTTTCTATAACTCTAAGCAGGGAATGCATTGCTCTCTTCTTCTCTGAACAATGAACTGGTTCTGGATGGAGCAGGGAGCTCTCCCTTTGTTCCCATCTCCATTGGAAAGAATACACAATGAAGTAGGAACAGCAACTCCCATCAGCCTTGCGTATTGGTTGTGGCTGATGAGATATGTAGTCCATGGTTTTATAACAGAGCATCAAAGGAAGGTCAAATCCCCCCCGGCAATGCATTTCCTCTCTCTTTCTCTCTTCTGTTTACTTTCTTGGATTCCGTCCTTTCTTTTCCTGTTTGCCTTCTGGGCCCTGTTGGCGAGGGAATAGCAAATCAGATCTGGAATGCACTCAGTAATCCCTGTCCTTTCCTTCCATCCCTTGCTGCTCCAGGCTCTGCAACCAGGTGAGTTGATCCCTTCCATGCGCTTTCTCTCCGTTCATGTGACAACTTAGTATGTGCCTGATACCAAATAGTCGCCTTCTTGTTGGGGAAAACGCCATGCAGGGCTTCCCAAATATTCTCAAGTCCTAGAAATGGTCCTCGCGGAACCCGAACTCTTTCCCTGATCTCCTTCGCAGAACCCGAACTCTTTCGCTAATCTCCTTCGCAGAACCCGAACTCTTTCCCTAATCTCCTTCGCAGAACCCGAACTCTTTCACTAATCTCCTTCACGGAACCCAAACACTTTCCCAAATCTCCTGCACAGAATTTGAACTCTTTCCCTGATCTCCTTTGCTGAACCCTAACTTTCCCTGATCTCCTTGGTGGAACCCTAACTTTTCCCCTTATCTCCTTCACAGAACCCTAACCTTTTCCCTTATCTCCTTCACAGAACCCTAACCTTTCCCCCTTATCTCCTTCACAGAACCCTAACTTTTCCCCTTATCTCCTCCACAGAACCTGAACTCTTTTCCTAATCTCCTTCGCAGAACCCAAACTCTTTCCCTAATCTCCTTCGTGGAACCCAAACTCTTTCGCTAATCTCCTTTGTGGAACCCGAACTCTTTCGCTAATCTCCTTCATGGAACCCAAACTCTTTCTCTGATCTCCTTCACAAAACCTGAACTCTTTCCCTGATCTCTTTTGTGGAACCCAACTCCTTTGCGGAACCTAATTCTTTCCCTGATCTCTTTTGTGGAACCCTAACTTTTTCCCTTATCTCCTTCACAGAACCCTAACTTTTTCCCTTATCTCCTTCACAGAACCCTAACTTTTTCCCTTATCTCCTTCACAGAATCCTAACTTTTCCCCTTATCTCCTTCACAGAACCCTAACTTTTTCCCTTATCTCCTTCACAGAACCCTAACTTTATCCCTTATCTCCTTCATGGAACTCAAACTCTTTCTCTGATCTCCTTCACGGAACTCGAACTCTTTCCCTATTCTCCTTCGCAGAAGCCGAACTCTTTCACTAATCTCCTTCACCGAACCCAAACTCTTTCTCTGATCTTCACGGAACTCAAACTCTTTCCCTAATCTCCTTCGTAGAACCCAAACTCTTTCCTTGATATCCTTTGTGGAACCTAAATTATTTCCCTAATCTCCTTTGTGGAACCTAAACGCTTTCCCTGATCTCCTTCGCGGAACCCTAACTCTTTCCCTGATATCCTTTGTGGAACCCAAACTCTTTCCCTAATCTCCTTCACGGAACCCAAACTCTTTCCCTGATCACCTTCGCAGAACCCAAACTCTTTCCCTGATATCCTTTGTGGAACCCAAACTCTTTCCCTGATCTCCTTTGTGGAACCCGATATCTTTCCCTGTTCTCCTTCACAGAACCTAAACTCTTTCCCTGATCCTCTTCATGGAACCCAAACTCTTTCCCTGATCTCCTTTGCGGAACCCGATATCTTTCCCTGATCTCCTTCACAGAAACTGAACTCTTTCCCTGATCTCCTTTGCGGAACTGGAACCTAGGGACTTTTCCACACAGCCCTATATCTCAGAATATCAAGGCAGAAAATCCCACAATATTTGCTTTGAAGTGGAATATATGGCGGTGTGGACTCAAATAACCCAGTTCAAAGCAGATACCGTGGGATTTTCTATCTTGATGTTCTGGGTTATATGGCTGTGTGGAAGGGCCTGTAATTATCTGAGTCCACACTCAGATAATGTGGGATTTCTGTCTTGATGTTCTGGGTTATATGTTGTGTGGAAAGGGCCTAATCATTGCAAACCCGCAGCATTTGACCTCCTCTCCTCTCCTTTTTTCCTGAGTGTTTTGTATAATTTTCCAATGAAAGTGGAAACATTTTCAATGTAACCACTCACTTTTATTGTGGTCCAAGAAAATATTGTGGATACAATGACAACCATTTAATTTGTTACAGTAAACTAATTGGGTTCAGACCGGAATCATGTACATTGTTTCATTTTTTGTACCTAGTTTTGAAAAGCTCTATGACTGACTGCATCCAACTTACTCCTACGTTTGGGTGTAAATATTATTATTAATAATAACACTGTGTAACAATATTTGAAACAGTTCCTACTTTGAAAGTGTAATTTCCTGTGTATTTGTGCAGTACATACTTTGGAAGTAGTTGTTCTATTCCAAAAACTTTGTTGCCACAAATGTTGTTGAATTGGTTGAGACTCAATTATGACATATTCATTGAAAAACTATAGCAACATGTTTTGCAGGATGTCCTGCACAAAGTTTTTGTAGTTTAATAAACTTTCCCCATGTTTTGAATGATAGAACCAACTAGGAAATGACATTTATAATTCAGGAACAAAAATTGTGTTACATAGCATTAATAATAATAATAGTAATAATAATAATAATAATAATAATAATAATAATAATAATAATAATTTGTATTTTGTTACCGCCTCTCCTGATGGCTCGAGACAGGGTACAACTGTTGCACTCCAGGCCTGGAAACACCTATGACCACCACACCACACAAGAGTCCAGAAATATAAACAGTTTATTGTAAAACATATAAAAAGCAAATAAATAATCAGAACTAAGAAATGAAGATATATAATCCAAAAAGGTTATCAACAGGTGATAACCAGACAATAATCCAAATGTCTCATAAAGTTCCAGAGATGACAAAGTCCAGGAATAGCCAGAAATCATAGATACAGCATGAGTCCACAATCCAGAAGGTATAACTAGGAAATCTTGAGCAGGAGTATATGAACAGGAACATAGTGAACTTCCAGGATATTTTAAATCCAAAATCAAAGCTTGACTTGAACCAGGAACAAGAGGACTTAAGGCATGGTGTTACGAACAATAAGGGTCTTATTACATGTGACAGGGGGGAACCTTTCTTTTCAATTCCACCGCTGCCACCAATGTAATGGAATATACGAGGGAATTACAGGTGATGAGAGAGAACGATGTGTGCGTAATGGTAGGTTTGCTGCCACCACCCCAAATTACAGTTTGAGGAATTGTCTTGTTGTTGTACTTGAGGTAAAATGTCCCTATACACCGGTTCTTCCTTTTGGCTCCCTTTCTGGTGACTGAACTGTAGAGATGTGGAGGCTGACTGGATCTAACCTTATATGATGAAACAAGACTGAGGCAGATTAACAGTAAACCAGAGAACAAGTTTATTGAAGTATTTGAAGCAAACAACTGACTACTGAGAGGTACATATGCGTAATTTGTTTCTGAAGCACAGACTTATTAAGCAAATGGTTTCTTTAGAAGGAGTAACTTTTCCGTAACACGAACTACTTTCCTCACACTATCCTGTAATATGTAACAGTGCATTTCTTTGACGAGCCGCCCCTGGCTGCCTTCCAGAGTATCTAGGTTTCCCCTGGACTACCCTGACCTTTAGGGAAATAAACCCACTTGTATTCTGTCCTAATACAAGTAAACAATCCTTCACTTTGACTTCCCTAGTCAAACTATACAGAAGCACTTGCTCTTTAATTATTCCCTAACAGGCTAACTCCTGGCTCACTAAGAAACTCTCTTCCCCCTGTCTGAAATCCTAATCCTTTCTCTGCTAGATCAAATCCTTCTCTCCCCCTTCTGTCAGAAATGACAGCCTATTTACACTCTCCTTCAACTCCTCCCCTTGGGGTCTGAACCAATCAGGAGTTAGCTGACTCCTCCCCTTGCCTCTCTGCCTATACCAGCATGTCTGCCCTCCTGAGCTGCCTTCCCAACATTGAGGCCAGCTCACTGACTTCCAGGTTGCGGTCTACGAAGAAAAGGTATGAGTTCATTACACATGGCTTCTCTCTAACACAGTGTTGCCTGGACTAACCTTAAGGTAAACAACTTGCTGTCTAATAGACACTCATGAAATCATTCTGTTTCTCATTAATTTCCTTCATAACTTTCCCATGTAATCTCTCTAAATGACACAATCTATTTTCGGTTCTGATTTGTAAACTAAGTCTTTTGTTGATCTCTGTAGCTACAGGTGGGTTCTCGTGGGAGCCCTCCTTATCACTTAGGTCTTCACTCAGTTTCTTATCTGCTGTTGCTACTTCTGACTCCTCAAATGCCCTTGAGACCCTGAACTTTCCAAGCCAATTTTCTCACAGAGAGAATCATCATTTCCCAGACTTGAGAGCCTATCACTTTGTGCCACAGGATAGCTCACAATCCTCTAAATCATCAGTTAAACCATCAGCCTCTGGTTGATCTACAACAATGACAAATATAAGGTGAAAACCCTGATTCGCATCAATAGGTGAAAGAGCAGTGCTTGGATAGCCTTTCTAGTTATGTTTTGGTGTATTTATTTGTTTATTTGCATTATTTCTGCCCCGCTCATATCAGCCCGGAGGCGACTCAGAGAGGCATACACAATCGGCACAATTCGATGCCATAAAAATACATACATTGATCAGCAAAAGAACTATTATAGTGCAATTAGACTAAGACAGTGCATAATAACAATATTAAAAGCTAAAAACCAGATCCTCTCATTCAAGTCCTTATCTGTTCCATCGTCTTGGGCCGTTCCTGGGTCATTTTCCAATTCAAGTTTGTCTATTTATTCGGAGGTTCCAAATGCTTGCTCGAAGAGCCATGTTTTTACTCTTTACTGAAAGGTCAGGAGGGAGGGGGGATCTAATGTCCCTAGGTAGGGACTTCCACAGCCGAGGGGCCACCACAGAGAAGGCCCTGTCTCTTGTCCCCGCCAGACATGCTTCTCTCGTCCCCGCCAGATGTGTAAATAATAATAATAATAATAATAATAATAATAATAATAATAATAATAATTGTATTTAGTACCAGCCTCTCCTGGTGGCTCAAGACAAGGTAAAAAGGTAAAGGTAAAGGTTGCCCCTTGACATTAAGTCTAGTCATGTCTGACTCTGAGAGGTGGTGTTTTTCCTGGAACCCTGGCAAGGCTTTTGTGGAACCCTCAAGTTCTGCGGAATGCATTTTGGGAACTGTTGACATAATATATTGTTTTGGAAGCAAAAACTATGAAAGGGAAACAAGGTAATGTGGGAATGTTGTTGATGACCAAGGGGAACTTTCCCTGATGGAGTTCTTTTTCCTCCCTTGTTCTTCAGTTCTCTGGCATAATCCTTCTGGCCGTTGGCATCTGGGGGAAAGTGAGCCTGGAGGTGTACTTCTCCCTGCTCAATGAGAAGGCCACCAACGTCCCCTATGTCCTGATTGCCACGGGCACAGTTGTCATCCTCCTGGGGACATTCGGCTGCTTTGCCACCTGCCGCGGGAGCACATGGATGCTCAAACTGGTAAGTGCCCAAGCAAACCCTGTGCCTGCCTTTACCAAAGGTTTGGCAACAGTCAAAGGTTTCTGAATGCCACCCATTTACATATGCACAGTGTTTACAGCAGACTCTGCAGAAGATGCTTTTATGGGGTTTACCAATTGCGACTGAATCTTGACACATTAGATTATATTAAATTGCCTTTATCCTCCCAGTGGTGAATTCAGGTCTAGTGCAAAGTGGATTCTTGTAGCCTTGGCTACTATGATGATTTGTCTGCACAAGTTCAGCCCTGATGTATTTTCCTAGCCCAGATATATTTCTGTGATTCACTTGCTGGTGTCATAGTCCAGTAATGCATTTCTAAAGGCGTGGCTTCTGTGTAAACACTTGATAAGGAACCGTGCAAAAGTTGAGCCAAACAGCTAAATGTCAGGCATTATTTGTTTCAGCCATAGTTTGTCACTCCCCAAATGCCTACTAGGCTTAAGAGGAAATGGAGAAACTCCTGGTACAATCGTATGGCCATGGTGTAAGTAAACCACTCGTAAGTGGAAAGCAATATATAAAATACACACACAGGACCCCCTGGTGGCTCAGTGGGTTAAACCACTGAGTTGCTGAACTTGCTGACCAAAAGGTCGCAGGATTGAATCTGGTGAGCAGGGTGAGCTCCTGCTGTTAGCCCCAGCTTAGCAGTTCAAAAACATAAACGTGTGAGTAGATCAATAGGTACCACTCCAGCGGGAAGGTAACGGTATTCCATGCAGTCATGCTGGCTACATGACCTTGGACATGTCTATGGACAATGCCGGCTCTTTGGTTAGAAATAGAGATGAGCACCAACCCCTAGAGTCAGACATGACTGGACTTAATATCAGGAGAAAACATACGCATACGCACATATATACATACACACACATATACATATACATATATACATACACAAACACATATAGCAAGGGGCCAGGGAAGATGGGAGTTGTAGTCCAGCAACATCTGGAGAGTCATATGTTTTCATCTATAAGCTAAATCACTTTGAGTCCTCTTCTGGATCTTGATATGGAATATTCGTAGCATTTTTTTTTACAGTTGAGCATAGTGAACCATAAACTGCTTTATTTGTTTTTGCCACATATACTCACTTGACCTACAATGTCAATGGGCTCTACATCTTTGGATTCCATCATCCATGGCTTCAAAATTTTGTAAAATGGCAATCTCCATAACCTTTTGGGAAATGGATATTCAGAACCATTTGGGAAAAACGGGAATATTTTGGAAAGGCATGACCTTGTTAGAGATCGTAACCTTTTTGAAAGTATGATCTTCCTGAGAAGAGTTAAAAAACTCCTTTGAGTCAACCTCCTTAGTGGTAAATATCCATTTATGCAAGGCAATTAGGTTTCTCAGCTGTTAGACTGATATACCTAGATATCTCTTTGAACTGTTAGGGACAAAGATATGCCAGTGCACTATACTATATCTATACACACTGTGATGGTGTGAGTGGCGCCACCTATGTATAGAACTGTTAGTTGTAAGATTTAAATTGTTGTATCATGCTTAATCCTGCCCCTTTTTACCCTGCTTATGTATAGTTGTATGGATTGGTTGCTTGTAGCTGTCAATCAGTACTGTTTGGCTCCACCTCTTCCTGCAGGAGGGGAGAGCTTCCTTTTTTCTTTTCATTCTGCTATCAGAGTTCATACCACATGGACGTGAGTAAAAGACTTGATTCTAAAGGACCCTGATTTAAGTTACCTCTTAGCACCAGTTCCGAGGTTTTTTTTATCCTTGGGACTCATGCTTTAGGTCCAGATCATCCTGGATAACATTGAGGAGATCCCAAGCGCCTTCAAAACCAGTTCTTTTGGCACCAAAGGAAGATCCTGAATCTTCAAAACATAGGCCATCTGAACTGGGGTTGTGGTTTGCTCCGGCATTCACAGCCATTGAGGAAAGAGGAAACTTGGTGAGGCTTCTCAGCTTCAAACTTCTTGGACCCAGGACTGATTGAGACTGTAATGTATGTTTTCCTTCACCCTTCTAAAGTTTTCCAGTTCATTGCTTTGTAGAAATGCCTTTATGATAAATAAAACTTATTTTGAGCTATTTACAGCGTTTTGGGTTTTTGGGAGTTCCAGTTTCCTATAGGAGGGCAAGAAGCAATCCCTTGGGGGAAAGGTGCCACGTCCATCCCTCCTTCATTAAGACTAATAGCCCCCAAGCGCGACGGCACACACACACACATACACATAGAGAAAGAGAGAGAGAGAGAGAGAGAGAGAGAGAGAGTAGTATTTCAGAAGTGTTCTTTTTAGTTGCCCCAAAACATCTCTCCCTTGGTTTAAATGATGCTCTCAAGAATTCAAAAATAAATAGTCTTCATTAAAATAACATAGTTGGTTCACTCACAAACTTCATGCATTCAGTATACAGGCATATTGCATAATAATCCAGCTACAGATAGGATTTGAAGTAGTTTCTCCGTGCAGATCGCACAGGGCATTTTTCTTAGAATCTTAATAGTCCAAAAACTAAAGCATCTCTCCAGTCTGAGAGTCTAATCGAGTATCTGAGCATTCAGTTTCTCCTGACTTCTGAAAGCATACTCTTTCTAAAATGGAGTCTGAGATCTGAACAGTCCCAGATCTGGTCACATGGTCTGCATCCCCTCCCACAACATAGAGTTAAGGAAATCTGCATACCAATACACATATACACAATACAGTAAGAAATCCGAATTCTATACATTACAAATACATATAGGAGGCTTGAACAAGGTTGCTATTTCCAACACAAAATATCCCCCCACAAAAGTAAATTCAAAAAAAAATAAACCTTGATTTTACCTTTTTATGTGAGGAATACTTTTTTTTTTTACAATGCCATTGTATATAATGGGACTTGGACATCCATGCACTTTGATACCCATAGCAGGAACCAGAACCTAGTGGTTACCAAGGGTACACTGTATGTATAAATAGAAACTGGCATCCTGTACCATGGTTATGGTACTATAAGCCTGAATTACAACATTGTCATTCATTTTCCAACTTTTGGGTCATTATGGTGATTCACAGTTGTCCGATACCGATCTTTTAAGCTGTTGCAATGAATTTCAAATTTTGCATCTTTTGGACTTTGGCTCTCGGAAGCTTTTTCCAGCACGATTCCAGGAGCTGAAATCCAAAATACCTACAGAGCCAATGGCTGAAAACAATTGCTGGCAGGTGATGTAGATGTTTCTTTTTTGTCCACAGTATGCCATGTTCTTAACTCTCGTCTTCCTTATTGTCCTGGTGGCTGCCATTGTGGGATTTGTCTTCCGGCATGAGGTGAGTTTCCATAAGTTTGTAAAAGAGAGTCGAGAACGTTGATATGCCAAGTTGGTTTTCTGTCTTCTGAGCAATTGTAGTATGGTGTGGTCTTGCTTTCATTGAAAATAGGGCCTTCCTGTTGACTTCAGTGTACACTTTATGCCTCGCAGTGGGTTAAACCGCTGAGCTGCTGAACTTGCTAACTGAAAGGTCACAGGTTCGAATCTGGGGAGTGGCATGAGCTTCCGCTATTAGCCCCAGCTTCTGCCAACTTAGCAGTTCAAAAACATGCAAATATGAGTAGATCAATAGGTAGGAAGGTAACAGAGCTTCATGCAGTCATGCTGGCCACATGACCTTGTAAGTGTTGTTATGGATTGATCTCATGTTCCCTACCTATTGATAAGGTTTAATGTAAAGCAAAGCCCCCCCCCATCTCAGGTTTATTACGGTCGCTTATACCCCGCCCTTCTCATCCGGGGGGGGGGGGGGGGGGGACGGGACTCAGGGCGGCTTACACAAGCAAGGCACAATTCGATGCCCGCATTACATGACAACAAAAACATAACATCAGTAACGGCAGCAATTATAGCAATGATAACAATTAACATAAACAATCATTATTATCGGCAAAACAGCCATAAAACCCGTAAAAGCAATTAAAACAATAAAAGCAATACAAACCTCATTGCTGGTCAGCGTTTAACAGACTCATAGTTTAGGTTCTACTTTCCGCACATTGTTGGTCCTATCCATCTGGTTTCCATATCTAATTGTCATGATGCCCAAAGGCCTGGTCCCATAGCCACGTCTTTACCTTCCTCCTGAAGGAGAGGAGGGATGTTGATGCCCTGATTTCCCCCGGGAGTGAGTTCCACAGGTGAGGGGCCACCACTGAGAAGGCCCTGCTCCTCGTCCCCACCAGCCTCACTTGTGATAGTGGTGGGGTCGAGAGCAGGGCCTCCCCAGATGATCTCAAATTCCGGGGTGGGACATAGAGGGAGATACGTTCGGACAGATACGCTGGACCGGAACCATAAAGGGTTTTGTAGGTCAAAACCAGCACCTTGAATTGTGCTCGGAACTGAATCGGCAGCCAGTGGAGCTGACACAACAAGGGAGTGGTGTGTTCCCTGTATGTCGCTCCGGTAAGCAGTCTGGCTGCCGCTCGTTGGACCAGTTGAAGTTTCCGAACAGTCTTCAAGGGCAACCCCACGTAGAGTGCGTTGCAGTAGTCTATACGGGTTAAACCGCTGAGCTGCAGAACTTGCTGACAGAAAGGTTGGCAGTTCGAATCTGAGGACCAGGGTGAGCTCCTGCTGTTAGCCCCAGCTCCTGCCAACCTAGCAGTTCGACAACATGCAAATGTGAGTAGATCAATAGGTACCACTCTGGCAGGAACGTAACAGTGCTCCATGCAGTCATGCTGGCCACATGACCTTGTAAGTGTCTATGGACAATGCCGGCTCTTCGGCTTAGGAACCCCCAGAGTCAGACACGACTGAACTTAATGTCAGGGGAAAACCTTTACCTAGGATATCATATTTCATCAATTCTAAGACCATCCTTCCTCCCATATAAACATCACTAAAAGTGTGGTGCATCTTAGAACTATGACTTTTTATATCTATACTAGACGCCCCCTGACATGCGTTGCTGTGGCCCAGTCTGTGTATATGTGTTTTTTGTGTGTGTTTATGTGTATATATGTATGTTTGTGTATATATGTGGTTTTGCGCATGCATTGTAATGTTTTATTTTGCTTTTTTAGTCCCTTCTAATGTGTTATTCCATGTTTTTATGAGTGATGGTCACTTGTTGCCTTGATAGGTGCATTGGATCCAAATTTGGTGTCAATTTGTCCAGTGGTTTTTGAGTTATGTTAATCCCACAAACTAACATTACATTTTTATTTATATAGATATCTTTTTTCTGTTAGTGATACTGAAATGAATATCCATCTTACAATCAATGGCATCTTAGTATTGAAGAAATATGCACTGGTTCTCATCCTTTGATGGTACTGAATGGGGTTTAATTAGAGTTTGAGTCCTAAACAATGGGAGATTCCTAAGGTCTCCATGCTTTGTTTGTATACTGGCTCTTCTTACAAGGAGTTGAAGATGTACATTTCAAATCCAGTGCAATTTTTGTTAACATCACAATTTGAAAAGCATAGATTAGAAGATTCAGCAATATGTATCCTTGAATATTTCAGAAAAAAATGTTTCAATCTGCTGTCTAAATGACAACAATGAAGGAGACAGGTGGGTCTTTACTGGGAGGAAGCTCTATAGATTAATATGTGTGTGATATGTAGAAATGTTTTTATATGTCATCACAAATTAGTATAAAATATGGGGTTTTTTTTACTACATATGGCTGCAAAAATATGATTTTTTTTTACAAAGTGCAGATTAATACAAATTCTGGTGAAAGTCACCAATTGGAAACTCACTCCTTTTCCTCTCCCCATGCAGATTAAAGACAGCTTCAAGAAAAACTATGAGGTTGCTGTGGAGAAGTACAATGGGACCAAAGATGAACGTAGTAATGCAGTTGATACTATCCAGAGCATGGTGAGTGGACACTTGTCTTTTCTTCATGGGTTCACTACTGGGAGGCCAGTGTGGTTTCTTCATTATATCAGATCTTTTTCAGTTAATTGCTATGTCAGTAATTGCAGGAAGTACCCAAAGGACAACTGAGTTAAGTATCAGATGAGCGTCTCTAAGCAGAGTACATGGCTTTCTGTGACATGTTGTCCATCACACCTTTATGGGAAAAGCCACTCTCAAGGATGACAGTGGCACAACCGATTGGAACTCAGTTTACCTGTCCAAATGTATCTCCCTCTCTGAGCCAGCTAGGAAATTAAAATCTTCTGGGGAGGCCCTGCTCTTGGTCCCACCTCCCTCGCAAGTGTGGTTGGTGGGGACGAGCGACAGGGCCTTCTCAGTGGTGGCTCCTCAGCAATGGAGCTCCCTTCCTAGTGAAATTGGATCAGCTCCCTCCCTCCTGACCTTGTATACTGGCAAAACCAATTGGAACCCAGTTTACCTGTCTGAACGTATCTCCCTCTCTGAGACAGCTAGTGGATTAAAATCTTCTGGGGAGGCTCTGCTCTTGGTCCCACCTCCCTCGCAAGTGTGGTTGGTGAGGATGAGCGGCAGGGGCTTCTCAGTGGTGGCTCCTCAGCAATGGCACTCCCTTCCTAGTGAAATTGGATCAGCTCCCTCCCTCCTGACCTTGMATACTGGCACAACCAATTGGAACCCAGTTTACCTGTCCTAACGTATCTCCCTCTCTGAGACAGCTAGGAGATTAAAATCTTCTGGGGAGGCCCTGCTCTAGGTCCCACCTCCCTCGCAAGTGTGGTTGGTGGGGACGAGCGACAGGGCCTTCTCAGTGGTGGCTCCTCAGCAATGGAACTCCCTTCCTAGTGAAATTGGATCAGCTCCCTCCCTCCTGACCTTGTATACTGGCAAAACCAATTGGAACCCAGTTTACCTGTCCTAACGTATCTCCCTCTCTGAGACAGCTAGGAGATTAAAATCTTCTGGGGAGGCCCTGCTCTTGGTCCCACCTCCCTTGCAAGTGTGGTAGACCTGAAATGATGGGCAGAGATGTAAACATTCAGTGGGATCAGGATTCTTCATATTTTTGAAGCTATATATTTCATGCGTGAATGTGGAAATGTCACCAAAGGAAGCCACATGTGAGCAGATTGGGGTTAAATGGGCCTTCTGTGTCCTGGTTTCTTCTTCTTCTTGTGACAGTTGCATTGTTGCGGAGTCTCGAATTTCACAGACTGGAGCGCCACTGACTACTTCAAGCAGAATGGGATTCCCTTGAGTTGCTGCAAGTCCTTAGACGACTGTACAGTTGGAGACCGGAAGGACCTAGAGAAAGCAAAGAGGAAGGTGTATGAGAACGTAAGCATACTCTGACATTGTGGATGGGGAAAAATTGATCAAATCAAGAGTTGGTGTTATAATAATGAGATTTGGTCTCGATTGAAACACCAGAGAGAGCCTGGGGACGGACGAGGCGGAGGGCAAAAAGTGGAAACTGATTGCCTGAAGCCAGAATTTCTCTGGAGGAGAAATGAGATAACTTTCCACTTCCTTCATTTAATGTCTTGCTTCTCTTGCTTTAATTCAGTTTAAAGGGAAACCGGAGACTAATATCTCTGATCAAGTAAATGTGGTAGTTAGTAGCAGACTGGTATGATGGAGGGATTGTTTTGCGGCTACTGGAACAGTCTGCTCCCAGGAATCCCAATGCTGTGCCTTCCTGGGATCTATAGTTTGGTGAGGCATCAGCATTCATTGGCAGAGAAGGCTCAAGACCTTGTAAAACTACAGCCCTCCATGGCATTGAACCAAGGCAATTAGAGTAGATTCTTCAGATGCATTCCAAGTTTTTATTTTCTACTGCTGACAGCTTTGGTGTTTTAACACTTTTGTTTTTAAAGATGGATTTCTAAGCAGGCAGTAACTATAATGGCCAAATCGCAGATTGCCATTGTGCATTACCTTCAGCAGCAAAAACTTTTTTTGGCTTCAGGGTTTTGAAAATGAACCTGCGCATTAGATTTGATGGTGCATTAGACTCAGTTTGGGGTGGGATGAAGACCCATATTGGCTTATCTCAGAGTTTCTCAACCTAGGGGTCGGGACCCCTGAGGGGGTGTGAGAGGAGCCACCAAAGACCATCAGAAAACACATGGTCATGGGCAGCCCCATAGCCAGGATTTTGATTTGGGGGGTGCTGAGTTTGATTCTGGGGGGTGGGTGGGGGTGGGGTGGGGTGAGGATCTACAGTAGCAAACCCTTCATATCGTTATCCCAATACCCCCATGGATATGGGATATATTGAGCATGGTGATCACACCATGATATGAATAAACATAACAGTTTAAATAATATACCAGTAAGGCCTTCTCGTGGACCACCCTGAGAATTTTGGGGGGGGGGGGGCGGATGAAGGGTTAGGGCCACATGCCTGGTCGTGGTTTGGCCAATTCCATCGTTGGTGGGGTTCAGAATGCTCTTTGATTGTTGGTGAACTATAAATCCCAGCAACTACAACTCCCAAATGTCAAGGGCTATTCCCCCAAATTTCACCAATATTCACACTTGGGCATATTGAGTATTCGTACCAAATTTTGGTTCAGATCCATCATTGTTTGAGTCCGCAGTGCTCTCTGGATATAGGCGAACTACAACTCCAAAACTCAAGGTCAATGCCCACAAAACCCTTCCAGTATTTTCTGTTGGTCATGGGAGTTCTGTGCGCCAAGTTTGATTCAATTGCATCGTTGGTGTAGTTCAGAATGCTCTTTGATTGTGGGTGAAGTGTAAATCCCAGCAACTACAACTCCCAAATGTCAAGGGCTATTTTCCCCAAACTCCACCAATGTTCACATTTGGACATGTTGAATATTCGTGCCAAGTTTGGTCCACATCCAACACTGTTCGAGTCCACAGTGCTCTCTAGATGTAGGTGAACTACAACTCCAAAACTCAAGGTCAATGACCATCAAAACCTTCCAGTATTTTCTGTTGGTCATGAGAATTCTGCGTGCCAAATTTGGTTCGATTCCATTGTTGGTGGGGTTCAGAATGCTCTTTGATTGTAGGCGAACTGTAAATCGCAGCAACTACAACTCCCATATGAGAAAATCACCCCCACCCTCCAACTCCACCAATATTCAAATTTGGGTTTATCTGATATTTGTGCCAAATTTGGTCCAGTGCATGAAAATACATCCTGCATATCAGATATTTACATTTCAATTCATAACAGTAGCAAAACTACAGTTATGAAGTAGCAACAAAAATAATGTTATGGTTGGGGGTCACTACCACATAAGGAACTGTCTTAAGGGTCTGCGGCATTATCAAGGTTGAGAACCACTGGATTAACTGAAGCCAAAGTTAAGGTTTCATCTGGCTTGAGGGATGTAGATGCTTTCTTTTTTTCATGAGCATCAGTTGCACAGAAGCTGTCATGTGTACAGTCCTTTTTAATATTCTCCACTCCCAACAGGGTTGTTTCGATCTGATGATACAAACAATGGACTCCAAAATGAGCATCGTCGCCGGGATCTCATTTGGCACGGCCTGCTTCCAGGTAAAGTATTCCTTCCTGAGTGCAGTGTTCAGGCTAATTCTTTTCTGTGCTAATGGATGTGCGTTCCTCTTGTGCCTCGCACCTGCCTTCCTTCCTTGATGATAGGACGGCCACAGAAATATGGGGACAGCCAGGAGCTTTGGAATGGACAGGTAGGACCTTCTGCATTCTCTCACACATGGAATGACAGAGTGCAGGTGTCTGGCTCATGGCCAGGTACACATTGCATGAAGCGAGATGCATGGCGTGGGCCAATCTGCTATTTCCAGCGTCTTGGCACCAGCAAAGCAACACTATTAAGGCAGAGCAGTTTGCTCCCAAATCCTGCCGGGAGTTGAATTCTTTGAGCTTATGCACCTGTCTCGAGGCACTTACGAATGAGTGTTCAAGTCACCCAGGTGCGCCATAGGGCATCTCATGCGCTTGCCATGGCAGGAAGCGAAGTACAACCCTCTCCTGATTACATGAAACTAGCAATCATATTCTTTCTCTCAATGCCTGCTTTATTTGTTTTGTTATGTTTATGTTTCACTCCGAGAACAGTTGGCTCTGGCTCTCGGAGTCCTCTGTGGTTTGACCTCTCCGTCGTTTGACCTTTCTTGCTCAAAGGAAGTGTATAATCCAGTTCAGATGGCAGCAAGATAATCTTTTTTCCCCCCCACGCTACACAGAATGAAGTGATCACATTCTGAGCTGTAGCACTTCGGGTGGCAGGTGAGGTAATTGGTTTTTTGTCCTCCTTGGTTAGAAACAAGCCCTCTTTCCCCAAAGTGCCTGCTTACTATTTACAGACAGGTTTTTACATGGGAGAACTCAGACATATACTGCACACAAGACACAGCCTCTCACAATCCGAGGTCCTGATAAGAGGGTTGTTGTAGGTCTTTTGGTCTGTATGGCTATGTTCCAGAAGCATTCTCTCCTGACATTTTGCCTGCATCTGAGGCAATCATGTTCAGAGGTTGTGTGGTTTGTTGGAAACTAGGAAAATTGGGTTTATATATCTGTGGAGAGCAATGACCAATCTTGAAAGTCAAGAGTAGAGACATCACACTGGCAATGAAGATCTGCATAGTTAAAGCAAGGGTATTCCCCATGGTCACCTATGGATGTGAGAGCTCGACCATAAGTGAAGGAAGATAGATGCTTTTGAACAGTGGTGTTGGAGGAAAGTTCTGAAAGTGCCTTGGACCACCAGAAGATCTAACCAGTCCATACTTCAGGAAATAAAGCCCAAGTGCTCATTGGAGGGAAGGAGATTAGAGGCAAAGATGAAGTATTTTGGCCACATCATGAGAAGATAGGAAAGCTTGGAAAAGAGAATGATGCTGGGGAAAATGGAAGGAAAAAGGAAGAGGGGCTGAGCAAGGGCAAGATGGATGGATGGCATCCTTGAAGGGACTGGTTTGACCTTGAAGGAGCTGGGGTGGTGACGGCCGACAGAGAACTCTGGCATGGGCTGGCCCATGAGGTCACAAAGAGTCGGAAATAAATGAACAACAACAATATCTGTGGAAGGTCCAGGGTGGGAGAAAGAACACTTGCCTGTTGGAGGTAAATCCCAGCAACTACAACTCCCAAATGACAAAATCAGTCATCCCAACCCCACCAGTATGCAATGTTCGCCATCCAGGTAGTGTGCCAAGTTTGGTGCAGATCCATTGTGGGCTGAGTTTAGAATGCTCTTTGATTGTAGGCGAACTATAAATCCTAGCAACTACCACTCCCAAATGTCAAGGCCCATTTCCCCCAAACTCCACCAGTGTTCACACTTGGGCGTATTGAGAATTTGTGCCAAATTTAGTCCAGATCCATCATTGTTTGATTCCATAGTGCCCACTGGATGCAGGTGAACTACAACTCCAAAACTCAAGGTCAATGCCCACCAAACCCTTCCAGTATTTTCTGATGGTCATGGGAGTTCTGTGCGCCAAGTTTGGTTCAATTCCATCATTGGTGGAGTTCAGAATGCTCTTTGATTGTAAGTGAACTATAAATCCCAGCAATTTACACTTCCCAAATGACAAAATCAGTCCCCCCAACTTCACCAGTATTCAAATTTGGGCGTATCGGGTATTTGTGCCAAATTTGGTCCACAGAATGAAAATACATTTTGTATATCAGATATTTACATTACAATTCATAACAGGAGCAAAATTACAGTTATGAAGAAACAACAAAAATAATTTTATGGTTGGGGGTCACCACAACATGAAGAAGTGTATTAAGGGGTTGTGGCATTAGGAAGTGCTGCTCTAAGTACTTTTGCACATCGATCTTGAAGAAGAGCAAGATAGAAGCATATTTCAACCATAATGTAACTTCTGTATTGAGTCATGTGTACAGCCCAGGTCAAAATTACATTGCATATTCTGCAGCGGTTGAAGTTCAATTCCAATCAGTGTGAACTTCAGGAACTGTTGGTGATCCATGCAGTACAAGCTGATAACCTGAAAGGAGTGCTACCGAGAGTGTGTATTTAGGTTGATGATCTTTGCCTTATCTGAAGATGGAAAAAAAAGAGGCTGTCGGAACTTCTTTTAGTTTTGATATCTCATCTTATCTTCAGCTTGTTCCAAACAGCTGGTGGTTCCAGTTTTTTTCATGTATTGCGGTTGTTTGGGAGTGGAAATCCTTGGAAAGTAAACATCACACTTTCCACTTGTGGGTACCCATTAACCCCCGATCTTGCACTTTTTTCCTCTCCCCCAGTTGATTGGCATCTTCCTTGCTTGTTGCCTCTCCCGATCAATCACGAATAATCAATACGAGATGGTGTAGATTGCTCTCCCGCTGGGTCGCAGCTGCAACCAGGTAGGAGTCTTTTTGTTATGACCCAGGTGTAAGTTTCACACTGAATTGCATGCATGCCTTTTCAAAGAGGATAGACGATCCTGTAAGGTCTTTCAGTCCTTTGAATATGGCACGGTTTGGAGACAGGAAGTACACAAAAAGCAAGAAAAAACATAGGAACCTAGCAAGTCTGTCCCCCAACCAGCCTGTTGCAAACTCCTAATTGAAATGCTGGGCGAAGGAATCTCTTCGCACAACCAACAGCATGGATCTTGGTTCACAGCGATGTTCAGCGTAAGCTCACTTCTCTTGAGTTATATAGACACCCCAATTAACCAACTGACAGGATCTAGACAGGAGTATATTGTCGAGATCCAGAGAAGTCATTCTATCCTTCTATCTTGCCCTGGTCAAACCACGCCTGGAATCACACCGTGTCCAATTCTGGGCTCTGCAGTTGAAGGGAGAAGTTGGCTCTTAAGTTGGAATGTGTCCAGAGAAGGGCGACTCAAATAATAATGACATAATAATAACACTTTATTTATATTCCGCCCCTCTCGCCCCAAAGGGGACTCAGGGTGGATCACAGTATACATACACAGCAAACATTCAATGCCGCTTTATATAGATAATACAGACAGAACCGAAGGAGGTGCCATGGAAGGTTGGGCTCGAGGCCAGGGGGTGCTGTTGCTCTATCCCAGTGGTTCTCAACCTGGGGTCCCCAGATGTTTTTGGCCTACAACTCCCAGAAATCCCAGCCAGTTTACCAGCTGTTAGGATTTCTAGGAGTTGAAAGCCAAAAACATCTGGGGACCCCAGGTTGAGAACCACTGCTCTATCCTCTATGACGAAGAGCCGTCAGGACTTCCTCCTTCCTTTTGGTCACCCAGCATTTTTTGATCTTCTTTCTTTATGGCATCGTAAAACACATCCCCCACTTTTAGCAGTATCTAATTTCTCTCATCTCAGCTAAAACTGTTTTCGAATTGTTTAGGTAAACAATGAGCTAGGCTGACAGTTGGCAACTCACGCCAACCCAGGGCTTCAAACTTGCAACGTTTTGGTTGATAGATCTTATAATTGCTGATGATTTACCAGTTGTGCTAAACCTCCGGCCCTGATCAAGGGTTTGGAGAACAAGTCCTGTGAGGAGCTGCTTAAAGAGCTGATCATGTTTAGCCTGCAGAAGAGAAGGCCAAGAGGAGACATGATAAGGGCCATGGATCAAGAGGTGAGGGGAAGTCATAGGGAGGAGGGAGCAGGCTTGTTTTCTTCTGCCCTGGAGACTAGGATGTGGAACAATGGCTTCAAACTACAGGAAAGGAGATTCCACCTGAACATGAGCAAGAACTTCCTAACTGTGAGAGCTGTTCATCAGTGGAACTCTCTGCCCTGGAGTGTGGTGGAGGCTCCTTTGGAGGCTTTTAAACAGATGCTGGATAGCCATCTGTCAGGGGTGCTTTGAATGTGATTTTCCTGTTTCTTGGCAGAATGGAGTTGGACTGGATGGCCCACGAGGTCTCTTCCAACTCTAGGATTCTAACCCTTTTTCTTAGATAAACATCTCTAAAAATGGGGTCCTTTTAGAAAAGCGTGATTTTTTAAAGATCTTAACCATTTAGAGAAGAGACAAAAACCCATTTGAGTAGAATCTTCTCAAGTGGTATACAACCAAATGTAATTATGCAAAGAAATTGACTTCAGTTGTTAGACTGAACAACCTATTGTCTCCGATCTTTTAGGAAAACAGAGAAAATGCCAGTGCATACAAATAGCAGTTCTTCAGAAGTGTTTTCCAGTGCCCAAAATATATATCTTCTCTCCCATAATAATAATAATAACTTTATTTTTATACCCCGCCAACCATCTCTCCAAGGGGACTCGGGGCGGCTTACAAGGGACAAGTCCAAAAGTTACAAATAAAACACAAACAAAAACATCAGATAAAGTATAAAACAACCATAGTCGTAAACAACATCAAGACAATTTGTTTTCTTTTTAAGTAGAGAAATTAGGTACTGCTAAACAAGTGGGGGAGGTATTTTATGACACCTTAAAGAAAAAGATCAGAACATGCCTGGGGACCAAAGGTTAGGAGGAAGTCTCGATGGCTCTTCATCATAGGGGATGGAGCGACAGCACCCCCTTGGGGCTGGATTTGAGCACAACTTTCCAAGGCACCAAAAGCTGGATGTCAATACAACATATTTCCTTTCTGTTCTGTCTATGTCCTGTCTGTCCAAAATGGCATTGAATGTTTGCCGTGTATGTGTACAGTGATCCGCCCTGAGTCCCCTTGAGGAGATAGGGCAGAATATAAATAAAGTGTTGTTATTATTATTATTATTATTATTAATAACTATTAATAATTATTATTAATTAGCCATCCCCTGCCACACGGTGCTATGGCCCACATGGGGGTTCTGTGTGGGAGGTTTGGCCTAACTCCCAGCAACTACAACTCCCAAATGTCAAGATTCTATTTTCCCCAAACTCCACCAGTGTTCACATTTGGGCATATTCAGTATTCATGCCAAGTTTGGTCCGGATCCATCATTGTTTGAGTCCACAGTGCTCTCTGGATGTAGGTGAACTACAACTCCCCAAACCAAAGGACACTGCCCACCAAACCCTTCCAGTATTTTCTGTTGGTCGCAGGAGAACTGTGTGCCAAGTTTGGTTCAGTTCCATTGTTGGTGGGGTTTAGAATGATTGTAGGTGAACTATAAATCCCAGCAACTACAACTCCCAAATGACAAAATCAATTTTTTGAGTGAAGGACATACATTGGGTTGTTAGGTGTCTTGTATCCAAATTTGGTGTCAATTCGTCCAGTGGTTTTTGAGTTCTGTGAATACCACAAACGAACATTACATTTTTATTTATATAGACTAGCTGTACCCGCCAGCGTTGCTGTGGCCAAACTTCCCTCTTTCTCTCCTTCTTTCCCTCCTTCCTTCACTTCTCTTTCCTTCCTTCCTGTCTTTCCTTCTCTTCTTCCTTCCTTCTCTATCTCTTTCCTTCATTTCCCCTTTTTCTTTCTCTTCTGCTGTCTCTCTTTTCTTCCTTCTCTCTTTCCTTCCCTCCCTCTTTCTCTACATCTTCCCCCTTCCTTCACTCCTTCTTTCCTTCCTTCTTTCCCTTTTTTCTTTCCTTCTCTCCTTCCTTCTCTAACTTTCTTTCCTTCCCCCTTTTTCTTTCCCTCCTTCTTTCTCTCCTTCTGTCCTTCTCTCTTTGCTTCCATGCTTCCTTCTCCCTTTCCTTCTTTCTTTCCCTCCCCTTTTTTTCTTTCTTTCTTTTTCTCCCCTTCCTTTCCTTCTTTCTTCCTTTTTTTCTGTATTGTCATTTAGCTTTTCATCATTTAGCTTTTTGGGGCTTTTTAAGTCCCTTCTGCTGTGTTTTTCAGTGTTTTAATGAGTGAAGGACATACATTGGATGGTTTTTGAGTTCTGTTAATCCCACAAACGAACATTACATTTTTATTTATATAGATTATGTAGATACTAGGCATGTGCAAAAATAATCAGAAGAATCAGAAATAGTAAGATAATCCAAAGTTTTGTAAGTCGGAGGCCATATCCGAAGTGTTTGCGTGACCCACTCAAAATATTTTAGATTTGAAACTTGGGGAGATAGGGCAGAATATAAATAAAGTGTTAATAATACTTAATAATAAAGCCTTTGATGGCTTTCAAAAGGAACTTGAAATATGCAGGAGAGACACAAACATAAGAGCAACCATGCTATTTCGGAGCAAAGTCCTGTCCTATTTTGTTTCCCTTGTGTCTATGGGAAGACCTTAAGAAGGGCAGACACCAATAGCACACTCCTAACTGTGCTCTTTGTAAACTCCTAGTAGCCATGCAACAGCTGCACTCTGGAATGTCAACCTTCCCATGGAATTCATTATTTTCCATTCTTTGCTTTCAGAATTTGGGGACACTTTCTTTGTATCTTGAAAACAAACAAAAAGGACTCTTTTGGGAACGACTTTGCTGACAGACACAAGCTCCTGGAATCCTGGCTGATGACACTACGTTTTCCCGGACTTGTTTCTTCTCTTCTGGACCTGAGCGCAATGACATGTGTACAGGGTTCACCTTCAGGTTGTAGTCAGGGCTGTTTTGAAAGAATTTTGGATGGAATAGATAGTAAATAGCAAGTTATTAGCTTCACTCCTCCAGGGCACGGATAGAGACGCCAGCTATGTTCAGAATTTGGCCTCTATCGAGTTAGCAGATTCTTGAGAGGCGAAGCCTTGTTGCAATGTCACACTCCATGCTTGCTTGGTCCCTTCACTTTATTTATAGTTTTTAGAATTAAAGATGACAATGTATTGTCGAAGGCTTTCATGGCCGGAATCATTGGGTTGTTGTGTGTTTTCTGGGCTGTATGACCATGTTCCAGAAGCATTCTCTCCTGATGTTTCACCTGCCATAGAGACAGGCAAAACTTCAGGAGAGAATGCTTCTGGAACATGGTCTTAAAGATGACAACTTGGAAATCCATAATAATAATAATAACAATAATAACAATAATAATAATAATAATAATAATAATAATAATAATAATTGACACTTGTTAAGATACCCTTTGCCCTTAATGTGTTGTCGTCTGCATTAAGAAGACAGACAACAACTCAAGTAGCCTTCAAAATATCAACGTGTGCCTGAACTGAAAGACGTCTGAACAGTGTGGCTAGACTATTGTGATGTCTGTTGGGTACGTTTCAACAGATATCACAATACTCTAGCCACAATGACGGCTCAATTTTTTAATACTTTAGAGCAAGTAATACAATGGACATACATGGCCTCTAAGAGTGTTTGGATGAGTTCCTGAAAACACATCATTGGAACAGAAACAGCCATTACTACAAGTAAATAGTGCTGCCTTCAAATGGGTTTTCTTAGGTTCCTGCCAAACTCTGGATGCTGCAGGAAAATTCCCCATTTTGCCTTGTTCTAATGACTCCTTAATGGATTTAGGGTGTCGTTGTGAAGTACAGCAGCTGGTATAACACTAAGGGTCCTATATGCACAGCTGTTTCTGTTTTATGAACACCTAATGCTGCATTTTTACATTTCCTTGCCCAAAACCTTATCGAATTCAACAGGACTTACCTGTGAGCAAAACATGGCTGTCATTTGGCTGTAAAGGTGGTTTACGCTCCATTCTCTTGGAAAAGGGGGATGTTGATGACCCCTTCTATGCAGCCATATAAAATTCAGATTTTCTGCTTTGAACTAGATTATATGGCAGTGTAGAAACATCTAACCCAGTTCAGTGCAGATAATGTAGATTATCTGCTTTGGTAATCTGGATTATATGGGAGCATAGAAGGGAGTGTAGGTGGCCGCGGTGGCGCAGCAGGTTAAACCACTGAGCTGCGGAACTTGCTGAGCAAAAGGTTGGCAGTTTGAATATGCAGAGCGTGGTGAGCTCCTTTTGTTAGCCCTAACTTAGAAGGGAGTGTAGGAGGCCTCAGTGGTGCAGCAGGTTAAACCACTGAGCTGCAGAACTTGCTGACTAAAAGGTTGGCGGTTTGAATATGCAGAGCGTGGTGAGCTCCCATTGTTAGCCCTAACTTAGAAGGGAGCATAGAGGGCCTCAGTGGTACAGAAGTTTAAACAACTGAGCTGCGGAACTTGCTGACCAAAAGGTTGGCAGTTTGAATATGCAGAGCGTGGTGAGCTCCCGTTGTTAGCCCTAACTTAGAAGGGAGTGTAGGGGGCCTCAGGGGTATGGCAGGTTAAACCACTGAGCTGCAGAACTTGCTGACCAAAAGGTTGGCGGTTTGAATCCACAGAGTGGGGTGAGCTCCCGTTGTTAGCCCTAACTTAGAAGGGAGTGTAGGAGGCCTCAGTGGTATGGCAGGTTAAATCACTGAGCTGCAGAACTTGCTGACCAAAAGGTTGGCGGTTTGAATATGCAGAGCGTGGTGAGCTCCCGTTGTTAGCCCTAACTTAGAAGGGAGTGTAAGGGGCCTCAGTGGTATGGCAGGTTAAACCACTGAGCTGTAGAACTTGCTGATCTAAAGGTTGGCGGTTTGAATATGCAGAGCGTGGTGAGCTCCCATTGTTAGACCCAACTTCTGCCAACACATCCGTTCGAAAATATGCAAATGTGAGTAGATCAGTAGGTACCGCCTTGGTGGGAAGGTAATGGCGCTCCATGCAGTCATGCCGGCCATATGACCTTGGAGGTGTCTATGGACAATGCTGGCTCTTTGGCTTCGAAATGGAGATGAGCATCACCCCCCCCCCCACCCCAGTGTCAGACATGACTAGACTTAATATCAAGAGGAAACCTTTACCTTTTATATGGCAGTGTAGACTCATCTAATCCACTTAAATGCAGATAATGTGGATTGTCTGCTTTGATAATCTGCTTTATATGGCAGTGTAGAAGGGACTGTAGAGTGCTCTGGAGCGGCTTCTTGGAAATGTAACTTGGCTGGACTACAGTTGCTACAAAACCCCAGCCAGTCTGGCCATTGGTTATGCTAAACGTGGATTCTGGGAGCTATATGTCAACAAAGTTAAGTTTGCAAAGCTTCAACATCCCCAAATCATCCCTCCCAGCGCACCTATTGCTGTTTGTTCTTGTTTGTACGGGCTCGGCCTAAATAATTTATTCTTCTTAATGTTATGTAGGATTTTCAGCATTACTTTGTTTCCCTGGCGTTATCATGGTCAGCCTTGGGATCCTTTGCTCTTGAATCTGCCTCCAAAATTGGACCTGGGAACAGGGGAAAAGGATTACTGCATTTGTGCCTCTTGAAATAAGCTTACTCTCCTCACTCCAGTCTTTTGCATTTGGCAAAAGGCTTCCCACTTTCCCCCTCCCTCTTTCTTTCTTAACTGATTTATTTTTATGATATATTTTTTAAAAGTGTTATTTGGATAAAGCCTTTTAGGATTGACTTGATAATTTTTGTGTCGAGAGGTTCCGTGTGGGGGGAATCGGGGGGTTTAGTTTTAGCAGGAAGGACCCCACAGATTAGGCACGATTTCGATCGGCAGTATTATTACGACATGGTGCTTTTAAGCAGATTTTTGTATTCAATAGGAAGTCCTCTTTGCCTTGAAAATGTAATAAATAATTGCATATCTTTTATTCTTAAATTCATGTTTTGATTTGATGGCATTACTTTGCCAGTGTCTTCACGCTTGCATTGGTTCTGTATTTCTTGGGAATTGTGGGATTTTTAAACACATTTTAGATGGGGAAGGGAAGGATGGGACATGGGACACACGGCCATGAAGACTCCTGCAAATCTCAGTGAATGTCCTCCTATTGAATCCTGCAGAACGACAGATGACTCCTTCAACTTCTGGCTGTTACAAATGCCTTGAAGGCTCATTTCTAGAGTTGTGCGTGGAATTTGTTTCTCCCGTTTCCTTCATTTCATAGAATCATAGAATCATAGAATCAAGAGTTGGAAGAGACCTCATGGGCCATCCAGTCCAACCCCATTCTGCCAAGAAGCAGGAATATTGCATTCAAATCACCCCTGACAAATGGCCATCCAGCCTCTGCTTAAAAGCTTCCAAAGAAGGAGCCTCCACCACACTTCATATGTGGACACAGCATATCTCATGAAAACCTTTCTTTTTTATTATTTAAAATATATAATTTGTAAGCTTCTCTTTTTTTCTTTCGTGTCAGGAGCGACTTGAGAAACTGCAAGTTGCTGCTGGTGTGAGAGAATTGGCTGTCTGCAATGATGTTGCCTGGATGTTTTTTGATGTTTTACCATCCTTGTGGGAGGCTCCTCTCATGTCCCCACATGGGGAGCTGGAGCTGACAGAGGGAGCTCATCCGCACTCACCTCACATTCGAACCTGTGACCTGTCGGTCTTCAGTCCTGCCGGCACAAGGGTTTAACCCATTGCGCCACCAAGGGCTCCATTTGTAAGCTAATAATATATATTTCCAAGATTATTGTCATTTTTGAGTTGCTAATAGTAATGTTAGCCCCAGCTTCTGCCAACCTAGCAGTTCGAAAACGTGCAAATATGAGTAGATCCATGCAGTCATGCCGGCCACATGACCTTGGCTCTTCGGGATTCGTCTTTTACGCCGGGAGTCATCTTATAGAGCGGGTGCTGAAACTTCCAGTCTGGATTAGAGAATCTGTGGTTGCCGCATATGGTGGGGGGAGCTCAAAAATGGCAGTGGCCGCGTTCCTGCCATATGCAGTGACTGTATGAAAGCATTAAGGGTGACACTGCACAAGTATGGTAGAAGAAAATCCATTCATCAGGATTTGTGGACTTAATGCGGTCCCGATGGTGAGGTGAAGGGGTGCCTCACCTTGAAGGTGTAAGTGAAGGGCGGGGCAAGCTGCAGGCGTTCGGGGTATGGAAAAAAGAGATAGAGTGGCTCTGGGTCCAGAAAAACACAACTCTTTTACCTGTCTGGCCCACCCTTGTATCCTATTAGCGTACCTCCTCCTCTGACTCTCAGATCTCACTCCTGAAGACTGCAGTGAAGCGGTGCAGGTGCGCATGTAGAATCATAGAATCAAAGAGTTGGAAGAGACCTCATGGGCCATCCAGTCCAACCCCCTGCCAAGAAGCAGGAATATTGCATTCAAATCACCCCTGACAGATGGCCATCCAGCCTCTGTTTAAAAGCTTCCAAAGAAGGAGCCTCCACCACACTCCGGGGCAGAGAGTTCCACTGCTGAACGGCTCTCACAGTCAGGAAGTTCTTCCTCGTGTTCAGATGGAATCTCCTCTCTTGTAGTTTGAAGCCATTGTTCCGCGTCCTAGTCTCCAAGGAAGCAGAAAACAAGCTTGCTCCCTTCTCCCTGTGGCTTCCTCTCACATATTTATACATGGCTATCATATCTACTCTCAGCCTTCTCTTCTTCAGGCTAAACATGCCCAGCTCCTTAAGCCGCTCCTCATAGGGCTTGTTCTCCAGACCCTTGATCATTTTAGTCGCCCTCCTCTGGACACATTCCAGCTTGTCAATATCTCTCTTGAATTGTGGTGCCCAGAATTGGACACAATATTCCAGGTGTGGTCTAACCAAGGCAGAATAGAAGGGTAGCATGACTTCCCTGGACTTAAGACACTATGCTCCTATTGATGCAGGCCAAAATCCCATTGGCTTTTTTTGCCGACACATCACATTTTTGGCTCATGTTTAACTTGTTGTCCAAGAGAACTCCATATTTTTCATACGTACTGCTCTCGAGCCAGGCGTCCCCCATTTTTTATCTTTGCATTTCGTTTTTCCTGCCAAAGTGGAGTATCTTGCATTTGTCACTGTTGAACTTCATTTTGTTAGCTTTGGCCCATCTCTCTAATCTGTCAAGATCGTTTTGAATCCTGCTCCTGTCCTCTGGAGTATTGGCTATCCCTCCCAATTTGGTGTCGTCTGCAAACTTGATGATCATGCAAGTTTGATGATCAAACTTGATGTGCGAGATCTGAGAGGCAGAGAAGGAGGTACAGTAATAAGAAAATTACCATATTGAAATCAAATCTGATGCTTTAAAAATTTTTATTTGGTGTGCGTCGGAAGAGGGGTAGTCTTATACGGCAATTATATCCCAAACTCTATATTTTAACTGGAAAAGTTGAGCTTGTCTTATATGCCCAGTCATCTTATATGCCTGAAAATACAGTATTTTAACACATAATCAAAGAGTCTAGCCAGGTTATATGTTTTAGTATTTATTGTTGCTTAGAATATACATCCAAGTGGATTTTAAGCACACACAAAAAAAGATATATCACACTTGCAAGCTTTAGAACAAAACAGTAGCAGGTGAAAGTGAACATAGAGCAAGAATATAAAAACATAGCGAGCCTTGGATATCTAATGGGGTTTGGTTCCAGGATTCTCCCATGGATACCCAGATCTATGGATGCTCAAGTCCCATGATGCACAAATGGTGACTCTTAAGTATAAAAAGACAAGAGTAAGGTTTGCGTTTGGGAGTTTTCATTTTTTCATACTGCCAAGCTGTGAATGCAGAATCTGTGTATACGGAGTGCCAACTGTAATGACTTACTTCATGAGAAAACAAATTAAGAGCAAGCCCTGTCTCTTCCCTATGAAATTTATGGGATTGCCATCAGTTGAGGGGTGACTTGAAGGCATACATGTGCACACAACATTCATTTGCCAAACACAAACAACTGTATAGTTTTAATCATCTAAACACTAGAACAGCGTTTCTCAACCTAGGGGTCAGGCCCTTTGGGGGGGGGGGCATGACGGGATGTCAGAGGGGTCGCCAAAGACCATAAAAAACATAGTATTTTCTGATGGTCATGGGGGATTCTGTGTGGGAAGTTTGGCCCAATTCTATCATTTGTAAGGTTCAGAGTGCTCTTGGATTGGACGTGAATTATAAATCCCAGCAACTACAGCTCCCAAATGTCAAGATCTGTTTTCCTCAAACTCCACCAGTGTTCACATTTAGGCAGACTATTTGTGCCAAATTTGGTCCAGATCCATCATTGTTTGAGTCCACAGTGAATGGATGTAGGTGAACTACAACTCCAAAACTCAAGGTCAATGCCCACCAAACCCTTCCAGTATTTTCTTTTGGTCATGGGAGTCCTGTGTGCAATGTTTGGTTCAAATCCATCGCTGGTGGAGTTCAGAATGCTCTTTGGCTGTAGGTGAACTATAAATACCAACAACTACAACTCCTAAATGACAAAAGCAATCCCCCCCCCCAACCCCCCCCCCCCCCCCCCGGCCAAGTATTCAAATTTGGACCAGAGAATGAAAATACATCTTGCATATCGGATATTTACATTACAATTCGTAACAGTAGCAACATTATAATTATGAAGTAGCAACGAAAATAATGTTATGGTTGGGGGTCAGCACAACATGAGGAACTGTATTAAAGGGTCGCGGCATTAGGAAGGTTAAGAACCACTGCACTAGAAAGTCCCATGGGCCTCATTTGACTCTATGGCCAAGGTTGGTGATCTGAGCAGCTTTGCCACCAGCACTATTCCCTTCCCTGAAACGTGCCAGAGACGGTCTTCCTGCTTCTGTGGTGCACCATTGAGGTTCATCAGCCACAGTAAACAATTCCGCGTTTCAAGTATAATATGTGGCAAATGGGCAGCGAGGCCTTTGTTGTGCCAGAGAATTGTTCCATTGGGAGGCTTTTAAGAGTCTGCTTCTCATTTTCAACAAGCGGTGTGAGATCCCAGGGTAAGTGAGAAATACAGAGACGGTGGCTGTTCCGGTTGCACAGAGACTACTAATACAGGTAAGAAGGCCACTGCAGGTTAGCAAGCTACTTGTGGCCTCCTTTGGTTTGTGGGTGCCTTGTGAACTCCCTTTGGCCTTTGCAAACTATTTTCAGTTCCTTCAAAATGGTTCAGCCATCAAACGCTCATTGTGAGGGAGCCAGATGCCTTCCGTGGATGCTGTGCATCTGTTGTCGGGATATTGTGTTTTTCCCAAGTATTCAAACATACGAGCATTACATTAGCAAAGACAATTATTTACCCCAGCGAGGAAAATTAGCGGCGCAATCATCGGCAGAGTGTACTTGCGCAGCTGCCCGATGCGCATTGATCAGCGCTTGTGACACGGACGCCTAGGGGCCCAGCTTCCTCTGTGACGATTGTGACATTTGTCTTCTCGAAGAAATAAAGTTGAGTGATTTGGAAGTGCTTTCTCACAAACTCCGAAACTGACAAGGCAATGCCCAGGCTTTCATCCTTCTTCTCTCTGCAGGAAATCCAACTGAAATGTCGACGCTAAGCTTGAAGAATCCCTCATTGGTGAATAGGTTGGAATTAGAGTAGCTGCTAATGCGTGTTTGGGCTTCTTGCAGGAGTGAAGATGACACAAGCCTTCCTGAACCCACTGTTTGCTTGTCAAGATTGCCCTGCAGTTCAGGAAATTGGAGTTTCGTGCCCATTTCTGCTTGATGCCAGACTGTGTCTGCCTCTCCATTTACCCTTTTCTAATGGAATATATAGTACTGAAGCTATCTTTCAGAAAGGCATCTTGTTTTTTGCAGTGTCCAAATGTGTAGTTAGCCTGCAGAAGGTGGGTGCAAAGGATGTGATACAAGGGCACCTTGCTTTTCTAGGGAAGACAGTTGTGTGTTGTATGTTTTCAAGTTGGGTTGTTGTAGGTTTTTCAAGTTATAGGGCCATGTTCCAGAAGCATTCTCTCCTGACGTTTCACCTGCATCTATGGCAAGCATCCTCAGAGGTTGTGAGGTCTATTGGAAACTAGGAAAATTGGATTTATATATCTGTGGAATAATGTCCATGGTGGGAGAAATAACTCTTGTCTGTTGGAGCGAGATGTAAATGTTTCAATTGGCCACCTTTATTAGCATTTGTGGCTTGACAGTTTTTAGGTATGGCTTGTTCCTGCCTGGGGGAATCCTTTGTTGAGAGGTGATTAGTTGGCCCTGATTGTTTTTTGTCTGAAGTTCCCCTGTGTTTCAGTGCTGTTCTTTATTTGCTGTTATAACTTTAGAGTTCTGAGGTCTGTTGGAAACTAGACAAGTTGAGTTTATATATCTGTGGAATTATGTCTTGAGTGGGAGAAAGAACTCTTGTCTGTTTGAGGCAAGTGTGACTGTTTCAATTGGCCACCTTGATTAGTATTGAATGGCCTTGTAGCTTCAAAGTCTGGCTGCTTCCTGCCTGGGGGAATCCTTTGTTGGGAGATGTTAATAATTGTTTCATGAAAGGAATTCTTATGGGTTTTTTTTTAGTGTTCCTCTTTGGGCCCTTCCAGACAGGCCATATATCCCAGGATCTGATCCCAGGTTTTCTACTTTAAACTAGATTATATGAGTCCACATTGCCAGATAATCTGAGATAAACAGAAAACTTGGGATCAGATCCTAGGATATAGGGCCTGTCTGGAAGATCCCTACATTTACTGTCCTGATTTTAGAGGTTTTTTTTTAAATACTGGTTGCCAGATTTTGTTCATTTTCATGGTTTCTTCCTTTTTGTTGAAATTGTCCACATGCTTGTGGATTTCAATGGCTTCTCTGTGTAGTCTGACATGGTGGTTGTGAGGGTGGTCCAGCATTTCTGTGCCATCAAATGCTAATCAAAGTGGAAAACTGGAATATTCACACCTACCCCCAACAGACAAGAGTTCTTTCTCCCACCCTGGACATTATTCCACAGATATATAAATCCAATTTTCCAAGTTTCCAACAGACCTCACAACTTCTGAGGATGCCTGACATAGATGCTGGCAAAACATCAGGAGAGAATGCTTCTAGAATATGGCCATATAGCCTGAAAAACCTGCAACAACCCAGTGATTCTGTCCATGAAAGCCTTTGACAATACATTGTTTTCAAGTTGAATGAAAAGTAATGCCTCCACCTTCGTTACTTGGGTTTGGAAAGGAATATTTTAATAAATCAAGTGCAGAAATAATCCTTAGAGTGTGCTCTTTAACTACCACTATTCACTTTTCCACATCATCACCAGACAATTGAATACATTTCTGCCAACAATGAACAAGTTTTCTGAAGCTGTCATGGAAGAAGTCGACATTCTTGTTTCCGTAACCAGCGTCTCTCAGTTCTCTCATCCTGGGTACCCATCGCACACAGATCTTCCGATAGCCAAGCAAAGTAATAAGGTGACCCAGACATTCTTGTGAAATGGCAATTATGCTTGAAATTTCTCTCTGAGTGATTCGACAATCGTCCTGAATCAATCTTTGCTTATGAAACTCAGTGGTTGCTGTCACGGGACGTCCAACTCTTTGTTTGTCACGCACGTTAGAAGTTCCCACCTCAACATCTTTAAACTTTCTCGCCCAATGATGCACAGTACTCACATCAACACAAACACCATAAACAGCTTGCATTCTCTGATGAATCTCCTTTGGGGTGACACCTTCTGCTGTCAAGAATTCAATGACTGCATTGCTTAAGTCGCATTGACCAACCGTCTGCGCAGGGTTCCATACTTTGCACTTTAACAACACAACTGTCCAATGCTAAGGCTTCCCGCCAAAATAGAACTGTAGAGGAGAGTCTACTGAACAAGCCAGTACTGCCGCATACCAGTATTGCCATCTGTTGAGGAGTTACGAAGGTGGAGGCATTACTTTTCATTCAACCGTCGTAGAATTTTCGTGGCAAGATTGTTCAGATGGGTGTTGTGGCTGAGAGAGTGCGACTTGCTCAAGAGCACCCAATGGGTTTCTATGGCCAAGCGGCAATCCATAGCACAACACTCAAATCCTTCCTGGCACTCAAAACAGTTGGAGAGCGCAATGCAATTTAGCTAGAGAGAGGGAATGCATTGGTGAAGGCTGCCCTCCTGTGGCTTTTCAGATGAGCTTTCAAATGTGGCTTGAATTGGAAATGGATTTTTTTTTCTAGCTACCTAGCCTGTCTCTGTTTGATTCTAGTTTAGCAAAATGTATAGAGAACTTAAATGCCTTCTCGGTAAATTTTTCAAAAATTGATGTATTTTTTTTTTTGCCAGGCACCATAAGCATTTTAGGACTGAGACCACAAAAGAAGGAAAAAAGCATGAAGTGGCAGCAATTTCTTTGCACCGTAGGCCAAATGCACCCTTATTTTGGCAATCAGCACTCAGTATAGAGTCATGCAGGGAAACGGAATAGTTTGTATATACATTTCCATGCAGGTAAGATGACAGTCTTATGGCAGTAGGCACAGAGTATGTAGCTAGCTGTAAAGAAGCAGCAAGAGGATACCTTCTGGTTTGAGGGCAGAGATCTACATGAGTAACAAAGTGGGGCAGGTGCAGTTCTAAAACCCTACAGAAAAGCTCCCTTCCCAAACACTAACGATGTGCAAAGATACTCAGGTTAATATATTATATATTATAGATCAATATAATATATTGAGGATATTGGCCTGCATCAAGAGGAGCATAGTGTCTAGATCTAGAGAAGTCATGCTCCCCATGCTCTATTCCGCTTTGGTTAGACCACACCTGGAATATTGTGTCCAATTCTGGGCACCACAATTGAAGAGAGATATTGACAAGCTGGAATGTGTCCAGAGGAGGGCGACTAAAATGATCAAGGGTCTGGAGAACAAGCCCTATGAGGAGCGGCTTAAGGAGCTGGGCATGTTTAGCCTGAAGAAGAGAAGGCTGAGAGGAGATATGATAGCCATGTATAAATATGTGAGAGGAAGCCACAGGGAGGAGGGAGCAAGCTTGTTTTCTGCTTCCCTGGAGACTAGGACGCGGAACAACGGTTTCAAACTACAAGAGAGGAGATTCCATCTGAACATGAGGAAGAACTTCCTGACTGTGAGAGCTGTTCAGCAGTGGAACTCTCTGCCCCAGAGTGTGGTGGAGGCTCCTTCTTTTGAAGCTTTTAAACAGAGGCTGGATGGCCATCTGTCAGGGGTGCTTTGAATGCAATATTCCTGCTTCTTGGCAGGGGGTTGGACTGGATGGCCCATGACGTCTCTTCCAACTCTATGATTCCATGATTCTGTGTAGCACCATTGATTGTCAGAGGCAATATTCCATTCATTCAGGGATGAGGAACGTGTTGGACTACAACCCCCATGAGCCCTCACGATTGACTGGCTAGGGCTGGTTGAAGTTGATGTCAGATCTTTGATTGCCACAAATAATATTTTCATCTGAAAGTAGGAATCTGATTGAAACCAAACCTATCTAGTCTAATACTGTGTACTGTTTGGGTTTTGGGTGTGGGTTCTTATAGCTCTATGTTTCTCAACCTGGAGGTCAGGAGCCCTGGGGAATTGTGTGGGGGTTTCAAAGAGGTCGCCAAAGACCACCAGAAAACGTATATTTCTGATCATCTTAGGAACCCCTTTGGCAGAGAAGGCGGAAGATCTCTTCCTTTTTAGAATCAGATGGCAAATCCTCTCACCAAAAACCCTCCTCCGCTGTGATTGGCAGGCCTCTCAGCCAAGGGGAGTGCTGTTTCTGAGACTCCAAGCAGGGAGGGGAGAGCAGGTGTGCACTGCCCATGGCAGCGTGGTGCGCATGTGCAGGCGAGGGAGAGCATGTGAGGTTGGAAAGAGGCATACGCCAGCGAGTCCCTTCAAGGCATGGGGGTTCTGTGTATGAAGTTTGACCCAATTCTATCTTTGGTGGGGTTCAGAATGCTCTTTGACTGTAGGTGAACTATAAATCCCAAAAACTGCAACTCCCAAATGTCAACATCTATTTTTCCTAAACTCCACCAGTGTTCACATTTGAGCATATGGGGGATTCATGCCAAGTTTGGGCCAGATCCATCATTGTTTGAGTACACAGTGCTTTCTGGATGTAGATGAACGACAACTCCAAAACTCAAGGTCAATGCCCACCAAACCTTTCCAGTATTTTCTGTTGGTCATGGGAGTGCTGTGTGCCAAGTTTGGTTCAATTTCATCAGTGGTAGAGTTCAGAATGCTCTTTGACTGTAGGTGAACTATAAATCCCAGCAACTACAACTCCCAAATGACAAAATCAATTCTTGCCAACCATATCAGGATTCAAATTTGGGTGTATCAGGTATTTGTGCCAAATTTGGTCCAGTGAATGAAAATACATCCTGTATATGAGATATTTATAATAGTAGCACAATTATAGTTATGAAGTAGCATCAAAAATAATTTTATGATTGGGGGTCACCACAACATGAGGAACTGTCTTAAGGGGTCGCGGCATTAGGAAGGTTGAGAAACACTGTTATAGCTGATCCTTAAAACATAAATACACTGCAGATGACAAGGACTGAAATTAGGGCAGTCTCCGTATTGCTGTCCTATGTCTTCTTCCCCGTGGAAATGGTTAACATACGTAGTGAAACTATACTGGGTTTCAGTAAATAGGTTATAGGTTTCTTGCCACCTTAACCTCTTCTAGTCGTCCAAGTTGGTCTTTGGAGCAAATAATGAGCAGTGGAAGGGTGCCTTATGTCATTCTTGCTGCAAAGTGGCTTCCTAGGAATGGCCTAGGAAGGTTCTATGTACTGCTATGGCATACTTGTCTTCCTCGGCTAAGTATGCTTACACCCGCCCCAACATACGTGCTACCCACCAGTTGCACGGCATGATGACCCGGCAGATGACCCGCCCCCCTCCGTAACAGTAAGGGTAGGGGTAATAGCCCAGCAGAGGCTCACAGACCCGCTGGCAGTATCGATGGGCACGGCGGCACTGGGCACAGCAGTAGCCCCGCTCATCCCACAGCGGGTGGAACTCCAGCCCGTTCTCCGTCTGGAGAGGAAAACGAAAGAGGAGAAATGAGGCACCAATTCCTGATCTTGCTTCCAGGAATACAATAGATCTAGGCCAATGCCCAAGGCAGGAATGCACAGCTGACATACTGGAGCAATCCTAGTTTGGACTATAGGACTCTGGGCAGCTTTGAGGTAGCCGGGTACAAACACGTGGCTTCTTTATTTTCAACGAGCATCTATGCTTGGCATTGCGAGGGTGTTGGAGGGGCTGCTGCCCCCCCTGCTTTCATTCCTTTTTTCTTTCTCTCTCCCCTCATACCTTTCCCCCTTCCCTTTCTTTTCCTTCCTTTCTTCCTTGTTCTTTCTTCTCACTCCCTCATTCCTTTCCTTCTGTTTCTTTCCCTTCCCCTTCCCTCTTTTCTCCCTTTCTCCCTTCTCCAGCTCTGCGAGGGCAACCTGGCTCTCTTTAGGGCTCTTTCATTCCTTCTCCTTCATACACATGCCATCTTTCTTCCCTAGTGACATCGCAGTGGGCCACTCGACCTAGAAACAGCCTTTCCAACAAGGGCCACTCTACCTAGCAACTCCTATCACAGCGAGGGCCACTCCACTTTGCAACAGCCATTCCAGCGAGGGCCACTCCACCTAGCAACAGCACTTCACCTAGCAACAGCCATTCCAGCGAGGGCCACTCTACATAGCAGCAGCCATTCCAGTGAGGGCCACTCCACCTAGCAACAACCACTTCAGTGCGGGCCACCCTACCTAGCAACAGCCATTCCAGAGAGGGCCACTCCAGCTAGCAATGGCTACTCCAGCGAGGGTCCCTCCACCTAGCAACAGTCACTCTAGTGAGGGCCACTCCACCTAGCAATAGCCATTCCAGCGAGGGCCACTCCACCTAGCAGCAGCCGCTCCAGTGAGGGCCACTTCACTAGCAACAGCCACTCCAGTGAGGGCCACCCCACCTAGCAACAGCCACTCCAGCGCCCTCACTGGTTAAGTGATGAAGCTCCCTGAGCCGCCAAAAAAACAAAACGTTCCATGTTATTAGCATTAATTTAACACAGTTAGAACTTCCATAGCCATTTTCTCATTGACAATGATTGTTTGAGGGCCACCGTACTTAGCAGCAGCCATTCCAGAGAGGGCCATTCCACCTAGCAATAGCCATTCCAGTGAGGGCCAACCCACCTAGCAACAGCCTATATGGTACAGACAGGCATATTTAGACTATCTTTCCATCTTTCCATCCATCCATCCATCCATCCATCCATCCATCCATCCATCCATCCATCTATCTATCTATCTATCTATCTATCTATCTATCTATCTATCTATCTATCTATGTCTATTCTAATTGTGCAATGCTTTAAAGCACTTTCCCCCCCTAACCTGGCGCCTGGCATTACTTTCCAAGGTGGTGGTGGTGGTGGTGAGCAAACAGGCAGGGAATTGGGGCTGTACCGAAAGGCACGCTTGATATCTTCTCCCTTTGAAGCTCAACCCAGAGCTCAGTGCTACCTGCGGCCTGTTTATTTCCTGGCAGAGACTCACGTAGTCGTTCACTGGGAAGTCCTCCTGCGTGAGCTGTCGAGCCTGACGCCTCTTGCCGGGTTTCTCTCCTTCCTTTTCTTCTTGATGACCTTCAGTCGGCTCTTGCTTGCCTGTTGGGAACCCATTCTCCACCTCGCCTTCATTTTCGAAGTCAAAGACTTCTGTCTCTAAAATCGAGATTTTTTCCCACAGCTGAGTGAATGAGAAGATTGTACAGCAATAATAGAAGTCCAAGTTAGACTGACCCATAATAAAAGATTTGGGACAATCTAGAAGAAAAACCAAATTCTTGGACTATACCCCCCCCCCCCAAAAAAAAAAAAACCTATGATGGACCTCAGCACACTAGAGAATGAATCCACTTAAAATCCGGTTTCTGCCTCTTGCAGAATTCTGGGATTTGTAGTTTAGGGAGGAGACTTTAACAGCCTCACTAAACTACAAACTCCAGATTTTTTTCCGGAGGCAAAAACCGGATTTAAAGTGGATTCATTCTCTAGTGTGATGAGGTGCTTAGTCAGTTTATGAAAGTAACTCACATAATTTCCTACCCAGCGGTAACTTTAGAAAGGTAACTTTTCTAAATCCTGGCTTGGCATCAATGTGAAAGTGGTGGAGAATGCTTTACCTTTCAACAAGGCTGGGTGCATCCAATACACAGTTACATTTTCACAGAATTCCAAAATCCTGGAATTCTTCAGGAAATCTTTGTTTTCAACCGGTTTCTCCCCTGGAACCCAGACCACAGACTGCTCGAAATAAGTTGATGTTGTTTTCTCTTCCTGCAAAGGAAATGAAATAGCCTTGTACTTTATTTGCAATTTCAGAGAGTGGCATTTCACCAGCTTTTCGTTTCCAGGCTGAAATTCTGTGTTTTCTGGACAAATACGCCTCACTTTGCATCCAAAGCTGAACATGCACCGTCTCTCACTAGGGTTCAGAAAAAAAATGGGTAGATATCCTTTTGACAGATGAAGGCAAACCCAATTAAAACTTGTGCGCCAGTTGCGCCCGTACCTTGGGAAGTCGGATCTGGCCACAGTGGTCCACGCTCTTGTTACATCCAGAATAGATTACTACAATGCACTCTACGTGGGGCTGCCTTTGAAGACTGTTCAGAAACTTCTATTAGTCCAGTGGGCGGCAGCCATTACTCACCGGAGCGTCATACAGGGAGCATACCACCCCTCTGTTGTGTCAGCTCCACTGGCTGCCAATCCAGTTCTGAGCACAATTCAAAGTGCTGGTTTTGATCTACAAAACCCTATACGGTTCCGGCCCAGTGTATCTGTCCGAATGCATCTCCCTTTACATCCCGCTTCAGAGTTTAAGATCTTCTGGAGAGGCCCTGCTCTCGGCCTCGCCTCTATCACAAGTGAGATTGGCGGGGACGAGGAGCAGGGCCTTCTCGGTGGTGACCCCTCACCTGTGGAACTCACTCCCCGGGGAAATTAGTTCATCGACATCCCTCCTTTCCTTTAGAAGGAAATTAAAAACATCTGTCCGAATGTATCTGTCCGAACGCATCTCCCTCTACGTCCCGCCTCGGAGTTTAAGATCTTCTGGGGAGGCCCTGCTCTCGGCCCCGCCTCTATCACAAGTGAGATTGGTGGGGACGAGGAGCAGGGCGTTCTCGGTGGTGACCCCTCACCTGTGGAACTCACTCCCCGGGGAAATTAGGTCATCAACATCCCTCCTTTCCTTTAGAAGGAAATTAAAAACATCTGTCCGAACGTATCTGTGTGAACGCATCTCCTTCTACGTCCCGCCTCAGAGCTTAAGATCTTCTGGGGAGGCCCTGCTCTCGGCCCCGCCTCTATCACAAGTGAGATTGGCGGGGACGAAGAGCAGGGCCTTCTCGGTGGTGACCCCTCAACTGTGGAACTCATTCCCCGGGGAAATTAGGTCATCGACATCCCTCCTTTCCTTTAGAAGGAAATTAAAATCATGGATTTGAGACCAGGCGTTTGGGTAATCTGGCAGACAGATAAAGGACAATGACGACAAGAACTGATAGGAATTGACAATGTGGAATGAATTCTGAGCTGGCGAACGTTGAGCATGAGATTGGTTTTATTGATTGTGATATATAACTGATTGTTTTAACTGTTTAAAACTGTTATAATTGCTGTTTATATATGTTTATTTGTACTATTGTGTAGGCATCGAATTGTGCCTTTTGTAAGCCGCCCTGAGTCCCCCCTCGGGGGTTGAGAAGGGCGGGGTAGAAATACGCGAAATAAATAAATAATAAATCAGCGTGGCATCTGTAAATACGAATTAGCCAATGCAAATTATATGCACATTTGTGCCTCCTTTAGCCTTCTTTCCTTTGATAATACACTTCCTCTCCTTCGGTAAAGTGCAATTCCTGCTTTTAGGATCCTTCCCATTCATATCTTAGAAATGTTATCCGTTGACCAAAATCTATACACATAATAAAGTGAAAAATGTATGTGTGTATGTGGCTGGGGTGCCCACTTCCACAGACATGCTCCCACTTCCACAAACAGCTTTAACGCACAGTGCTGAGGAGCCACCAAAAGCCCTCCCTCCAATGACATTTCAGGTTATAGTGAGCACCATGAACACGTAGCCCAACCCCTGCCCATGTCCTCCCCAAAGACCATACTGCCCACCACCTAAGGAATGCTTTCATTCGGGGACAATTTCATCCTACACTTTATGTGATTCCTCCTTCATAGACACCTCAGTGTTTCTTACTTTTGCCATTGGTGTGTAATTTGCATGATCCCGCCTACTGCCCCTCCCATAACCTTTTCCTTCTCTTTTCAAGTCTATCTGCACAGCAAACAGAGCAGACCTAATCAGCAACTAAACATGCTGGAGATGTTTGGGGGATTGATTCCACATGATGGAAGTTGTAGTTTACCCTGCATCAAATGAGGACTATGACCCCCACTGACAATGGACCTGGACCACATTTGGCTCACAGAACCCTCATGACTACAGAAAAATACTGGAGAGGTTTGCGGGGGTGGGGGGTGGGGATTCACCTTGATTTATGGTCATTGTAGATACTGGGATTTATAGTTCACCTGCAATCAAAGAGCACTCTGGACCCCAACAATGATGGCCCCAGACTGAACTTGGCACACCGAACAACCATGACCAAAGAGAAATACTGGAGAGGTTTGGGGAAGGGGGGATTCACCTTGATTTATAGCCATTGTAGATACTGGGATTTATAGTTCACCTGCAATCAAAGAGCACTCTGGACCCCACCAATGATGGCCCTGGACCAAACTTGGCACACCGAACCACCATGACCAACAAAAAATACAGGCGGGCTTTGGGGGAAGTTCAGTTTGGTTTACAGGAATTACAGAAATTATATGACTCTGGACTTGTCGTTCCAATTCCTATGTCTTTTACCTTGCATTTTCAAACACTTGTTCAAACAACCAAGTCTTGACTCTTTTCCGAAATGTTAAGAGGGAGGGGGCCGATCTAATGTCCCTAAGAAGGGTGTTGAGGGGCCACCACCGAGAACGCCCTGTCTTGCGTCCCCACCAAACGTGTTTGTGATGCAGGCATGATCGAGAGCAGGGCTTCCCCGGATGATCTTAAAGTCCTAGCAGGTTCATAAGGGAAGATGTGTCCGGACAGGTAAGTTGGGCCAGAACCATTTAGGGCTTTATAGGCTAAAGCCAGCACTTTGAATTGTGCCCAGTAGCAAAATGGGAGCCAGTGGAGCTGGCGCAACAGAGGAGTTGTATGCTCCTATTAGTGATCTGGCTACCGTCCATTGGACCATTTGAAGATTCCAGGCAGTCTTCAATGGCAACCCCAAGTAGAGTGCATTGCAGTAGTCTATACGGGAAGTAACTAGAGCGTGGACTACTGTGGCCAAGTAATATAATATAATATAATATATAAAAAACATGACTTCTTCTAATAACCCTAGGTAGTAAGGATATAAAGAGAAGAGAGTCTTTGGATCCATGCATTTGTTTTGAGAAATCAGAAATAGAACCTGGATGCAATTTCAGACTGCTTTCTCCACTAGACTAAATTTGGACCAATTTCAAAGTTAAAACTGATTCCATCTGGACAGGTTCAGCTAGGCCTTAGTTCAGCATTTAACAAAATATGCCGAGCATGTCTGTTGTTGCATTTGAAAGTGAACGGGATTACTTTCTCTGTACTTTCTGCACTGTTCTAATCTCTGACAGATCTATCTGGTTTGATTGAATCCACGTTTCTCTGCAAACCTCAGGCTCCTCCATTTCAATGTCAGATGTTTCCGGTATCCCTTTCATTTGGCTCCTGATGAAGCACTTTGGATCTCCGCTGAAAAAGATGCCAGTGATTCCCTGTTGGAGCAAAAGATAGTCAGGTGAAGGAGTGCTTTTTACACCCAATAGTAAGGCGGAGCTGTTGGTCATAACTAAATTCAGAACATAATGCACCATTTTCATGATCAGTAAAGAGAACTTATATTGGCAGAGATAGTAGCAAAGGCAGAGTTTTCTTCGGCTGCAAAGCACACACAACTCTGCTCTTTGAGACCACACTGCCTGAGGCAGTTGCTTCAGTCTGCTTCAAACAATTGCCAACCTTGGACAGCTATACTTACATTTTTAAAGTCATGTATTTCCAAGACTTCCTCGCTGCCCTTTCCAGTTTGGAAGATCTCTGTCCCGGCAAGAGGATCTATCTTCATGAATATTTGTTGCCGTTCCCCATTGCTGAAAAAAGTGTGCTCCATATCATAGACCTGAAACAATAAATTGAAGAGAGCACAGAAGCTCCTTTGGGTCTTTGTGTTTTTCTGAACTTGGAAAAGTTACTTTTTTGGGCAATACCTACAAATCCCTCACCCAGCATGGTCACTGCCCACTAGGCTTGTGCATTTCAGCTGAACCTTGATCTGTTTCTGCTAGCCGGATACTAGTAGACCTCCATATCCGTTTTCGAATGGCTCCTGAACATGGTTGGGTAGCCGGATAGCTGTTTTCGGTTCGTAGTCGAAAAATCCGGCTAGATCTGACCAGAGGTTTAGCACAGCTGGTAAATCATCAGCAATTATAACAGTGGTTCTCAACCTGTGGGTCCCCAGGTGTTTTGGCCTACAACTCCCAGAAATCCCAGCCAGTTTACCAGCTGTTAGGATCTCTGGGAGATGAAGGCCAAAACATCTGGAGACCCACAGGTTGAGAACCACTGAATTATAAGATCTATCAACCAAAAGGTTGCAAGTTCAAAACCTCGGGTTGGTATGAGCTGCCAACTGTCAGCCTAGTTCATTGTTTACCTAAGTAATTTGAAAACAGCTTAGCTGTGATTAGAGAAATTAGGTACCGCTAAAAGTGAGGGAGGTGTTTTATGATGCCATAAAGAAAAAAGATCAAAAATGCTGGGCAATCAAAAGGAAGGAGGAAGTCCTGATGGCTCTTCATCATAGAGGATAGAGCAACAGCACCCCCTGGACTCGAGCCCAACCTTTCATGCACCTCCTTCTGTTCTGTCTGTCTGTGTATTGTCTATGCAAAGCGGCATTTAATGTTTGCCGAGTATGTATACTGTGATCCGCCCTGTGTCCTCTTCAAGGTGAGAAGGGTGGAATATAAATAAATTATTATTATTATTATTATTATTATTATTATTATTATTATTATTATTATTGGCAGCAATGGGGAACTTACAAAGCTCCCCTTTTTCATTCCTGGGATCCTTTTTTCCTCCAAGGGAACCTGGGTGACAGCAACGGGATTAAAGAAGCACTCTATCCAGTCCATTATGGGGGGAGGGGACTTCCCACAGGCTCACCTTCCATATCCTACAATAACACCTGGATTAAAAGCATTAAAGATACCACTCTTTCTGCGATCCTTTCCTTTCTGTCTGGGTTTAATACTTCATTAAAGCTGTTTCTTTCTACTCTGGAGGAGACAACCACTATAGGCACTCCATGCGCACACACTCTCTCCCGACACATAGCTTTCCAAGACTTTTTAAGGAGGCTCAGGGAAGGAGAGCGTTGTCCTGGAGTTATCTACCCTGGGCTTCCTTAAAACAGCCCTCTTTTTTCTCTACTGCAGGAAAGAGAGATGGAGGGAGAGAGGGAGGGAAGGAAGGAGAAGAAAGAAAGAAAGAAAAGAAAGAAAGAGAGAAAGAAAGAGTGAATGAGTGAGTGAAGGAATGAAGGAAGGAAGGAAGGAAGGAAGGAAGGAGAAAGAAAGAAAGAAAGAAAGAGGGAAGGAAGGAAGGAAAGAGAGGGAGGAAAGTATGAAAGAAAGAAAAGAAAAGAAAAGAAAGAGGGAGGGAGGGAGGGAGAGAGGGAGGGAGGAAGTTTAGTAGTATGATAGCTGGGACCCAGTGCTGTTAGTGCTAGGAAGAAAGGAAGGAAGGAAGGAAGGAAGGAAGGAAGGAAGGAGAGAGAGAGAGAGAAGGAGGCAGGGAGGGAGGGAGGGAGGGAAGAAAGGAAGGAAGGAAGGAAGGAGAGAGAGAGAGAAGGAGGGAGGGAGAGAGGGAAGGAAGGAAGGAAGGAAGGAAGGAAGGAAGGAAGGAAGGAAGGAAGGAAAAAAAGGAGGGTGGGATGGAGAGAGGGAGGGCAGGAAGGAAGTAAGGAAGGACTTCCCTCCCCTAATTTAACTACCACTCTTGTCTGTTTTTGGATCTCCACACACAGCGGCTTGGTGGACTGACCGCTTGCATGAGATGTGCCTCTGGAGGAATACTAATGGCCACTCAAGTCAGATTTCAAAAGTATCATATTGATGCCTTTTTAAGGAAACCCTTAGCAATATATGCATTTGTAGTTTCAATGAAGACACTCTGGAAAATTCATACTACGGAACATATAAGATGAGGTCCCAGAAAGGACTGGCGGGCTGCCTTGCCAGACTCTCTCCAAGAACAAGCTGTGCTTTGCATCAGGCAGAGTGGCATCTGAAGATGTTATTGGGAGAAAATTCCAACCTTCACTCGGGGAATTATTTTTCTTTTGACTTTGGCTAAAGATCCCATTTAAAACTTTTTTTCCAAGAGGGAGAGATCCTTCCTGTTGAGGTAGAGTATTGGCTGACATTACAATATCCCGCAGTAGTTTTTCCCAAACCAACCTCATTCCATCACCCCTAGACTGCACAGCCATTTCTCTGTAAAAGGAAGAGATAATGGGAGTTATTATAGAATAATAAAGTTAGAAGGGACCCAAGGGCCATCCAGTCCAACCCCATTCTGCTGACAGATGGCCACTCAGCCTCTGTAAATTGCTGTGGATGAGTCTGTTTAAATTGAGCAAAGCTGATACAGAGAAAGCAAGTCTTTCAGAAAGTTGGTGGTTTTTGAAAAATATATTTTTTACACCCAATAGTAAGGCGGAGCTGTTTATCTCATCACACCCACACACCTCTTCGAGGGTTGCAAGTGTTTGCCCAAGGCCAGCTTCCTTTGACTAAGGAACTGAACATATATAATATTTCTGTGATACATAATTTATTTGGATCTCTGATTTTTTTTCTTTTTCTTCTGGATTACAACTCTCCGAAACTCTCAGCGCAGCCCTTGGCAACCTCCCCAAACTGCTTGCATTTTTCATACACTGCACATTCCTTAGAGGAGACAGGAGTAGGTGTGGGGAGATGCCTCCTTTCAGACGCTGGAATCTGAGATTTGACTTAGACCAGCTAGGAATTGCCAGGCTAAACTTTCCTGATAAGTTTGGCTTTCATTTATCCTCCCTGAATCTTAAAATCAGTGTCAAAAGTCTGAAATTGCTACCATGGGCAACCTCTGGGGGTAATTTTTCTGTTCCCAGGATAGCTTTTCCTAGTTCCTGCCCCTGATGGAGACCATCTAAATATCTCATTATATACACTGGTATTCACTCCTTTCATATCTGAATTATTGGCAGCAACAAGGCGTTCATTTACTGGCTCGACTTTCTTTGACAGTCAATTTTTATTCATTGATGCGTAAGGTGAGCAGGTATATTTGGGGCTGAGAAGCAGATGCAAAAGAAAGGCTGGTGTTTCCAAATTCTTCTCTTTTTTCTGTCAGACAAATACTACTCAGCTTTCCTTGCATACAGTTCCTGGGAGAACCTGCTTGTCTCCTTAGCTCTTGGCAATTAGGTGATGGGTGCTATACAGAACATCCGTAGGGATACAAGGGTGCTTGTTTATAAAGCTATTGTCCTCCCAACCCTGCTATACGCCTGCGAAATGTGGACTGTCTACAGACGTCACATGCAACTCCTGAAACGATTCCATCAGTGCTGCCTCTGAAAAATCCTGCAAATCTCTTGGGAAGACAAGCAGACAAATGTCAGCGTGCTGGAAGAAGCAAAGACCACCAGCATTGAAGCAATGGTCCTCCATCATCAACTCTGCTGGACCGGCCATGTTGTCCGGATGCCCGACCACCATCTCCCAAAACAGTTGCTCTATTCCGAACTCAAGAACGGAAAACGGAATATTGGTGGGCAGGAAAAGAGATTTAAAGATGGGCTCAAAGCCAACGTTAAAAACTCTGGCATAGACATGGGAACTGGGAAGCCCTGGCCCTTGAGCACTCCAGCTGGAGATCAGCTGTGACCAGCAGTGCTGTAGAATTTGAAGAGGCACGAATGGAGGATGAAAGAGAAAAATGTGCCAGGAAGAAGGTGCACCAAGCCAACCCCAACTGGGACCACCTTCCACCTGGAAACCAATGCCCTCACTGTGGGAGAACATGCGGGTCAAGAATAGGGCTCCACAGTCACCTTCGGACCCACCGCCAGTACACCGATTTTGCAAGACCATCCTACTCAGAGAACAAAAGATCGCTTAAGCAAAGTAAGTAAGTAAGTAAGTAACACCAGAGCAGGAACACCTCTGCCCTTAAAATACCACATCAGCTTGGTAAAATCAGCAAGCAGTTTACTAAATAAATGTAGGCAAAGCAGTAAAAATGGTAAAAACCAATACAGTCCCAATATAAAGAATAGTCCACTAACTTCAAGGCATAAGGTGACCCATGAGTTTCAAAGGTACAAAACTGATAGAACAAGGCAGCATGAAAATCCAATACACAGATCAGGAGCCTGGCAAAACTTGGTACATGGAACACTTGGAAACAAAACCGTCATGAAATTCCAATGTTGAAGAGACTGAGGCAATTATTTCCCTTGTATCTATATAAAGCTTTTCCTGACCCCAGAACTGAAAGGAAAGCATTTCTCTTGCCCTTACAACCAGATAAGGGTTTCTTATCTCTCTTTTCCTGCAAATGAATTGACCTTCCTTGTGCCTGAGAACTATGCCTCTGTTTACAAAAGTCTTCCTTTCTTCACTCTCATTAAATTGACGATTCATCTTCAGAAGACAGTTTCTCAGAGAAGACTGTTGAGGGCTTCTCCCAGGAATGTGACCTTGTGAATCTTCACGAGACACCTTGGGCCTCTCGTCTCACTTAACTCAGGCCCAGGCAAACCCTCATCCCCATTGACAACAGACCCAGGTCCAGAAAACCCTTCATCTCCATTCCCATCATGAACATCAGACACAATCACAGGCAGAATTACAGCAATGGGTTTCTTATTCCAAATGCATGGAAAATGCTCAGCATCTTCATCAAGATGCCAAGGTTTCAAGGAAGATCAAGCTGGAATGTGTCCAGAGGAGAGTGACTAAAATGATCAAGGTCTGGAGAACAAGCCCTATGAGGAGCAGCTTAAGGAGCTGGGCATGTTTAGCCTGAAGAAGAGAAGGCTGAGAGGAGATATAATAGCCA